AAGGATATTCAATTAGCTAGAAGATTAAGAGGTGAAAGATCATAGGTGTAATGTTGTTGTTTTAATGATAAGTTATAAATGGTTTTGTTATAATTATGGTTTTTTAGGGATATAATTTTTTCACTTATTTTTAGGTTGTATATTAGGTTTTTAATTAAGGATTAGTAAGTTTAATGATTTATGTTGTAGAGTATTGTAATTATAATCTCATAATGATTTGATTGTTATGAATTTCTTATTATTGTATTTTAAGAGTTATAATGTTTTTCATGGTCTGATTTTGTCTTGATTGTATTTGGAGTTACTGGTATAAAAGGTACATTATCATATCTAATCTACAAATCACAATAAACACAACAAACTTCCACCAAAACCACCAAATATAGCAACTTTAGACTATTTGAATCATTCATTTTATAATAATAATCATGTATTCATTCAAATTAATGGTATTTCTTATTCTCTTTGATCCAAATTTGGTAGTTTGAAACTCCATATTTCTTATCATTATTCAATTTTTATCCCGATAAGGAATCTTAAAACATCGAAACTCAAAACATCATAGATTATATACGTACGAATATACTAGTATTTATATTTGATATGATTATTGTGTTTGTATATAAACAGTTGATATTCTAATATATTCAAAGTATGGTATAGTCTATGTAGCTTGTACTTAATACACCAGACTAAATATTATGACACAATGTTATTATCACTCATTGATTTACCATTCAAATTAGATAAAGATAATTTCAATATTTTCATTATAATATCATTTATATTATCAACTTTATCATCATTATTATGGTTTTATAATTCAAAATCAAATCCCCCAAAACCATTACCTTCCAAACTTGCTCAAAATAATAAAAGAAAACCAGGTCATTGGATCCCAGAAGATTATAAATTTCCTAAACCACAACCATATCCAAATTGGAATATTTATGATTCAGATCCAATTGCTTATAGACCTTTTAAACATAAATATAATGTTACTATGGGTATAAGAAATATGAATCCTGAAGAATGGATTGAAATTGATAATAAATGGTTAGAATTCCATGAATTAAAGAAACAAAGATTACAAACAAAAGGAAAAGATTTATATGGAACTTTACCAATTGCTTATGATGCTTCATTGGAATTATTAGATGAATTGAAAAATTATTTACCTGAACGTTATCCATCAATGTTTAAATATAATTCCACAACAGGTGTCTTATCAAATTTAATCACTGGTGAAGATTGGGGAACTTTTGATCTTAAAACCAAAGAAATTGATCCAATGTTTATTATAACTAATTTATTACAAGATGATATTGCAATAATGATTGAACTTGAGGATGGTCAATATTATTTAAAAGCTGGTGCTATTGTCCTTCCAGGTTTTTGGAGATTAACAGATAAATTAAACATGCCATTATCAGAAATACATACTTCAGGAGATGTACCAAAATATAATACTCATCTCAAGAAATCAATGGAAAAATTCTTTACAAGATTAAAACCTGAAACTTCTGTGTTAAGAAATAATTATTTTATCCAAACTGATAAACATCTTGATTGGTCTTCAAGTATTGGGAAAGAATCTGAACAAGGGGTTGGTTGGTATACTGCACCCGTTGCAACTGATATAAATCAAATTTATTATAGATCTGAAAGACAAAGTTTAAGAAAATTACCCAAGACAGGTGCTGTGGTTTTCACTATAAGAACTTATTTCATTCCAATTATTGAAATTGTTGATGAACCTTATGTTCCATTAAGATTATTAAATGGATTAACTAGTTGGAGTAATGATGTTAGAGAATATAAAGGTTTTAATAAATTTAAAGATGTTTTGTTACCTTATTTGGAAGGGAAGGCTAAAGAACAAGAGGTTTTGGGGTATACAAGAGAAAATGAAAAAGATAATTTCCCACTTTAAATGAAAACTAGGTGTCTTTGTTTATTGTTTATGTCAATTTATGTCAATTTTTAATATATGCATTATGATTTATAACTTGATTGTAGTATGCTATGTTCTGAACATTGATTTTCACGCTGGTGGTAAAAATGATGCAAATAATATAGGTTGTAAAAAATTCCATAAAACTAAATACATAATCCAATATTGTCCTTTGTTATCAATAATCAAATCACTTAAATACCAATAAACCAAAGGTAAAAACCCTGAAATCCTCAAGATAATTTGAACATGAATGAAAAAAACCAATAAAATTAAATGTAACCCACCAATAATACTTAACTTGACATCTTTGGAGTAATTATTTTGAATTGATCTGAAAATTAAATAAATCATTGGTGATGCTATAATAAAATTAAATAAATTATTTGGGGTCCAATAACGTAAAAATCCAACATTCCAATAATGTCCTTGTGCATATGAATAAATTGATGGTATTAATGAATCACACCATTCTGATCTATCAGGACAAAATTCTCTATAGGGGAAATAATTTAATATGATTAAGAAACTGAATAAGATTGATCCTGATAATAATGGGATTAATTTTTTTTGAAGTTTGAAAAAAATGAAATCATGGAGGTATAAACCACCAATGATTATTGTGTTTGATCTTGTTAATACTGAGGCACCAAAAAGCAATGATGATAATAAATATGTGAATTTGTTTTGATTATAATATAAGACCAATCCACTTAGTAAAAAAAAATTTGATAAATTTTCTGAATATGGAACCAAACTGAAAACACCCATTGTTGAAAATAATGTAAAAATCCCACTTAGATAACTTTTCTTTAAATTATGAAATTTCACCCAAGTTATTTGGAAAACTAATAATGAATTAATAAAATGTAATAAATTTGTTATCATGACAGCCCATATAAATTTATTTTCTGTAGGTAATGAATTAATAAATTTCCACCAAAGAGGTCCAAAAACCCATTCATGTTCAAATTGAGGACCCGAGTGGAATGATCTATGAAAATAAACGTTATCCCAATGTATGAATTTATTTAATATTTGATTTATTGTGGTGTTTGATGATATATCATATTTATTAGAACTTATATCAAATTGATTTGGTGTTATGTAGATGATTCCTAATTGGATGGTTTTGATAGCTAAGAACCAGAGGAAAAGTCTGGTTGTGTACTTCATTGTAACCATATCCTTAACCCACTTCTAATAAATGAACTTTTGAAACAATTGTTCTATGGATTGTTGATGTTTTTGTTTAGTTGTCTTATAAAAATTCAAAAGCACTGTCAATATTATTCGGGGTTTTTAAATTTCTAAAAAAAGGAAAATGTTTTATAATTAAAAGAAGGCAATTCGGGTAGAAAAGTATAAGAATATAAGTTTTAAAGGGTTATAATCAGTTTAAAGATGCCTATAATTCATAGTTTGATAAAGAGAGATTGTAAGTTGATTGTTTATGGAGGTTACTCCAAAAAGAAGTGGTTTAAATGGGTGAATGGTTGTCCATTTTACCATTTTTAGAAGTATAACCATTAAATGAAAAAGAATGAATTACTAACTAAAACCAAAATAGCCTGTTGGGGATGGGGTTGTGCTAATGCTTCATCATCATGGAATTGGGGGAGATGGATTCTTTTCGTATTGTTCATATTAGCCATCTTATCAGTGATATTAGCAGCTATTCGTATAAATAAAAGAAGAAATATCGAAGGAAGAGAACCTATAAGAGGAACAGCTTGGATAACTCCACCAAGTTATTTACATGCTACTAATAATCAACAAACACAACAACCTTTCGTACCACCTTATACTGCACAAGCTAATGATAATGATGCTGGTTATTATGATAATCAAGGAACGTTCCATCCAAATTTTAAAGCTCAAGAAGCTGCTGCTAATAGTGCTAATGGACAATATGGACAATCACAACATTTAAATACACTCGTACCTGATCAAACTGGGGTTTCTTCACCTTCAAATACTTATCAACCACCATCAGGACCTCCTCCAGGTCAAGCACAAGTTCAATTTACAGGAGATGATCATGAATTAAATTTCCAAAGAGATTTTTCTCGTTATTATAATAATCAAAACCAAGGGAATAGTAGTCAATTTCAACCACCTTCTGGTCCACCACCTGGTCAACAACAGAATGATTTAGAATTGGATAATTTTTCAAGACCTGAAGGTCCACCACCTGCACATTTAAAGAATTGATTACCATTGGTTCACTTTAAGAATTGATTTTTTGTTTGTATATGATTGTCATTTAATACTATGTTTTTTTGGGTAATGAATAATGAGTAATTATGAGTAGTTGTTAGCTATATATTTCTCTAATACTTGTATAAATATCCAATTTGAGTCCATTTTAAGTCACTTTTGTCAACTTTCTTCACTTTAATAGTCCACTGATAACGGTTTCATTCGCTATAAGTTTACCGGGGAATTTGAGCTCTTCACTGATTGGGACATTATGCGCGCGGGTTCTTATGGAGTTTGAAGAATATATAAAGTCGATGAATTCCAATAAATTTATGATCTTTTGATTATATTTTGAGTAAGTATAGTTTATTTATTACAATGGTTACTCCTACTTTCAAAGACCCAGAAATTATTAGAAAAGGTGCCTTAATCAACGGTGAATGGATCACTGAAGGTCCAAAATTTGATGTTACAGATCCAGCAACTGGTGAAGTTATTGCTCAATTACCAGATCAATCAATTGAATCTGTTGATAAAGCCATTGATGTTGCTTATGATGCTTTCAAGACTTTTAAAAATACAACTCCAAGACAAAGATCTCAATGGTTAAGAAATTTATTTGATTTAATGACTGAATATAATGAAGATTTAGGTAAAATTGTATCATGGGAAAATGGGAAATCATTAGCTGAAGGTAAAGGTGAAGTTAAATATGGTGCTTCATATTTTGAATGGTATGCTGAAGAAGCTCCAAGAGCTTATGGTCATACTATCCAACCTGCAACTCCAACAAATAGAGCTTTTACTGTGAAACAACCAGTTGGTGTATGTGGTATTATTACACCATGGAATTTCCCAAGTGCAATGATTACAAGAAAAGCAGGTGCCGCTCTTGCAGCAGGTTGTACTGTTGTTATCAAACCAGATGCTCAAACTCCATTATCTGCATTGGCTTTGGGTTATTTAGCTGAAAAAGCTGGTTTCCCAAAAGGTGTTTTCAATATTGTTCTTTCACAATCTAAAACACCAGAATTTGGTTTAAAATTATGTGAATCTCCAAAAATTAAGAAAATTTCATTTACAGGTTCAACAAATGTTGGTAAAATATTAATGAAACAAAGTGCTTCAACTTTGAAAAAATTATCATTTGAATTAGGTGGTAATGCACCATTATTAATTTTTAAAGATGCCAACTTGGAAAATGCAGTTGAACAAGCTGTTGCATCAAAATTTAGAGGTTTAGGACAAACTTGTGTATGTGCCAATAGAATTTATGTTCAAAAAGATATCCTAGATCAATTTGTCACCAAGTTCCATGAACGTGTTTCCAAGTTCACCATAGGTCATGGTCTTGATGAAGGAACAACTCATGGTTGTATGATTAATACCAAGGCATTAAGTAAAGTTGAAGAACATGTTCAAGATGCTGTATCAAAAGGTGCACAAATCATTGCAAAAGGTGGTCGTCGTACAGATTTAGGTGAAACTTTTTATGAACCAACAATTTTATCTCAAGTTACTCAAGATATGAAAGTTGCTAAAGAAGAAACATTTGGTCCTCTTGCTGCAATCATACCATTTGATACACCGGAACAAGTTGTATCATGGGCAAATGATGTTGATGTTGGTTTAGCTTCATATGTTTTTTCTGAGAATTATGCAACATTATATAGTGTTAGTGAAGCTTTAGAAACTGGTATGGTTTCATGTAATACTGGTATTTTCACTGATTGTGCAATTCCATTTGGTGGTGTTAAAGAAAGTGGATTTGGTAGAGAAGGTTCATTATATGGGTTAGATGATTATATGGTTATTAAAGTTGTTAATTTAGGTAATATTCCAAAATTACAAGTGTGAATTAAGTTGTTTGTTTGATTGATTTATAAAGTCTATCTGGATGGACTTGGTATTTAATAGATGCACATTGATTTATAGAATATGGTGAATTGTAGTACAAGCTGTAGTATTTCATATCGAAAATTAGATGAGTTATATATCATATAAAAACTAAATAGAATCAATAATTTCTTTCCAGCAAGCTATAACAATACACTATTCATTAAAACATTCAATGGTTTTCAGGAATAAATTCATCTAAATCAAATTTATTAAAATTTTCATCATTATCAACTGAAGCCAATCCAAAATCAATAAAAAAACATTCATCATTCTCATCAAAACAAAATTCATGTCTTTCTAAATCAATACCTGCCAATTTCAATAGCTTAATTTGTCTTGCAAAATTATGTTCCCGTCTAATATTATTGATTTTATTATCATTTATAAATTCAAAATTTTCAAATATTAAAATTGGTCCATAAAAAGTATTATCTCTATTTATCCAAAAATCATGAAGCCAACAATATTGTAAAAGTTTTGGAGTGTTGATTTGATTAACTTTACCTCTAGATGAATTCCAATCTTCTATTCTTTTTAAAGCAATGAATTCTCTTAAGAAACTTGTTATAATGGTTTCGTAAATAGATTCCCAATCTTTATCTTTTATAGAACTTAGAATGTTTAATTCTGATTCATCATAATCACGCGTGATGTTTTGTCTTTGTTCCAAGTGTAAGTATTTTGATTGATAAAAATCATAAACTTTACACAAGACATTTTGATCAGGTTTGACAAATTCCAAAAATTGTTTCCTTGGGTTAAAATTCTTGAAACAATTATTTGATGATGCAATAATTTTCAAACATATTCCATTTGAGAATTGTGATAAAATCTTGGAATCTTTGGAAATAACTTGACTCACAAATTTAAATATATCATTTGTATTACAAATCATACCAGATTTCCTAATCTTGTGTTTGTAAATTTTATCTTGTTCTTCATTTTGAAATAACATTGTACTTTGTAAGGAAGCACTTTTATTTGTTCTTGTTCTTGTACTAGGTGGTTTTGGGTTGTTATCTTCTTGTTTCATTGTTTCATTCGAGTCCTTGTCTTTCAATTTGAACCTGTGTAACAGAAATCACATTGATATATAAAATAATTGTAGTAAATTATAGTTAAATTATTAAAATTCTCATTAATTTTGCCCTAATAATCTATTGTACTTATTCAAATATTCGCGAATTCACTCCACTTAAATTTTTTTTTTTTTGATTTCAAATTTTTTTTTTTGATTTGATTTTTTCAATTTTTAAATTTTTTTGTTTTCTGTCAAAAAAGATCAAAATTGGAAATCAGATTTTAAGATTTTAAGCGCCATAGTTGAATACAATGATTTATTGAACATTAGTTGTTAATTAGCTGTTTATTAAGGTTGTTATTAAGGTGGTATAATGGACTTGTATCAACAATTCCCTCAATCTTCATTAAATTTTGATCCAGAATTTGAAAAGCTATTGGAAATCTTCACAACAAGATCAATATCAACTATTGATATCTTGACAACTTCACCAATTGAATTATCAAATCAATTAAATATATCATTATCCCAAATTCAAAAATTCATATCAATTTTAAAAATCCAAACAAATAAACAACTTGGTGATGATTTAATTAAAGGTGATGATATTAATCAGGAAGTTTTCACTACTGGTGACCTTGAATTTGATAAAATTTTAAATGGTGGGTTAAGGACAGGTATGATTACTGAAATATTTGGTGAAAGTTCAACAGCAAAATCACAATTTTCAATGCAATTAACCAAAACAATAAACCTGAGTCCTGATCAAGGTGGTTTGGGAGGTAATTCAGTTTATATATCAACTGAAGGAAATTTAGAAACTAAAAGATTGATTGAAATTAATCCTGGGATTGAAAATGTTTATTATATAAATTGTTCTGATTTTGAAACTCAAGAACATATATTAAAAGTTCAATTACCTCTTTTATTAAAAGATCCTGAGAAGAATATAAGATTAGTTATAATTGATTCTATTTCTCATCATCTTCGAGTTGAATTATTAAATTCCAATTATGAAAATTTTAATAAAAATCAAATTATTTTACAAAATTTAGGAATTTATTTAAACAAGTTATGTACAGATTTTAATATTTCAATGATTTTAACAAATCAAATTAGTGATAAACCAGATTCAAATATTTTAAACACAAATTTTAAAAAAATTTCAATGGATTATCAAATTGGTTGGTTATCAGGTTGGTCTTCTCAAGATATTAGAAATAGACAAGATAATGAATTTCAATTAAATTCCAAAATACCAACATTAGGTCTAAATTGGAGTAATTTAATTAATGTTCGTATATTATTGAAAAAAAATTATAAACCTGGTTGGGAAAACCCACAACAACAAGAACAATTAGAACAAGAACAAGAACATGGGAATTGGATTTTAAAAAGATATTTTAAATTAGTTTATTCTTCAATTAGTTTCAATAATGATGAAGTTGAATTTAAAGTTTTTAAAAATGGGTTGTTTTCTGTGAAGAATTGAATATATTTGTTGAAAATAAGAAACAATGGGTATTGGTATTGGTATAAATGTGGTATTGATATTATTGATATGGATAATTGATTGAACTCAAAGCAAGCTTTTCGTTCAATTACTCAAAACTCAAAGCTAAAGCTTTTCGTTTTGATTATGTCTCCAATTCAATATCCCCCACAACCCCTTGAACATTCAATCCATCATCACTTTCAATAGCATCATCAAACCCATCATAATCATAATTTTGATAATTTTCATCATCAGAACAAGTTAAATCATATTCTTCCATTTCTTCATCATCATGATCAATAGTTAATCTTCTCTTATTAAGAGATAAATTTGGATTTAATTTTGGTGAAGTGATTCTAAATCCATTAAGATAAAGATATGCAACTCTTTTCCGTTTCTTGTTAAAGATAAACCATTTAAATGTCCATAAATGACCTGGTTCATCATCTAGGAATGATTGATTTGAATTTATATCTGTTGAATCATTATCACCTAAGTTTAATTCATAAATTATACAATCATTTAAATCCATATGAGAATTTATTATATCAAAAATCCAAGATTCTGAAGATTTACCTAATGAAATTAAAGTATTTTCAAATTTTGATTTTAAAGAATTTATTGAATTTAATTTTTTAAAATTTATTGGATTTAAATTTGAAAAATCATAATCTGGATAAGTTTGATTTAAGATACCAATAAGATAAGCAAAAGTTCTTCGACTTGCAGTTTCATTTAAAGGACCAAATGGAGTTGATTCTAAAGATTTTGGTGAAGTTGATTGAGTATGTGGATGAACATCACTTGAACTAAATCTTCTTTTTTGTTCCCAAAAAGTGTTACCATTATGATTAGTGTTACCATTATCACCAGGTATTATTTCATGATTATTATTTTCCTTTTCTAATTCTTGTTGATTAATTAAATAATCAAAATGTTTATCAATAGTTTTATATAATTTTCTATCAGATCCAACTGGTTTAGTTGTAAATAAATCACAACCACCATTGATATGACATTCATTAGTATCAAAATCTAAGAATTGATTAATTTGTTCAATATCATTTTCATCAATGAACTGGGTGTTGTTGTTGTTAGTATTTGGTGATAAGGTGATGAGTACTAAACGTGGGTAGTAAACATACCTTCATTTTGGATAATGGTACTTTGATAGTAGTTATTTTAATAGCAAAGTAGATCTAAGAGTAACACACCAATATATATATATACTGATATTATATTATCTGTTTATTTTCTGTCTCCTATCAGTTGATGTAATTATAATCTCGTGTTTTATCTGTGCTTTTGTTTCCTCAACAATCGTGGGATTTAAAATTAATTTCTCACTAAAAAAGCGCGGAAAATGGAAAAAGTTACCCTGAAAAATAAAAGTAAATGATCACGTGAATATTACATAATCAATTACATAATCAAATATAAATAAAATAAACAATGACATCATTTTAACAATTTAGTTTTTTATTTTCCTTTCAAAAGTATTTTTTCTTAAACAGTAGCAAAGCAAACAAGTATTAAATCAAATGATAGACAATTATTAACAAACATATCTATTAATGAACAATACAATGCTATCTATTAACTATACTATCAACTATCAATTACTAGTAGTACATAACCCTAACAAGGCAATGCACAACCAGCCATCTCTTCCTTACATAAGCCAATGATTTACCTTAATTTCAGTTTGTTTTGATTTTTTTTGCATGCAATGGAAGAATTTTTGATGTGTTTTGATTTTAGATGGAACATTTAACAGGAAAGAAGGAAGAGACAATTAAACAATTGAATAACTAGTAGATAATGTATAATGTAGAATCTAGATAGTAAATAATTGTGTATTACATCATTATAAGCCCCAATTCCAAGTACTTCTCTATCATTTTAGTCTTTCTTCGATCTTCATAGCAATAATCGTATGCACATCATAATAAATTTCACTTGAATTTCATCTGCAAAGATTATAAAAACATCAACATTCCCAAAAAACATAAACAACAAAATAAACAACATCATCAATTACACAGAGATATACAATTCAATATGGCTGAACAAAAAGAAGACGCTAGTAGTTCTACTTCTGCTTTTGTCTCTTCATTAGTCTTTAATGGATTAATCCTATTAATCTTAGTCTTAGCTTTTGTTGCTTTAAGACCAAAAAATAGACGTGTTTATGAACCAAAAACCCTAGATTTAAAAGATACTAAACCGGAACAAAGACCTCCAAGAGCTCCAAAAGGTCCTTTCCAATGGATTACTTTCTTATTATCAAGACCTCAAGGTTATTTATTACATTATGCTGGTGTTGATGGTTATTTATTTTTAAGATTTATTTCAATTTTCGCTGGTATTTCATTCCTTGGTTGTTTTTTGATCTTACCTGTTTTATTACCTGTTAATGCAACTAATGGTAATTCATTAAAAGGTTTTGAATTATTAAGTTATTCAAATGTTAAAAATATAAATCGTTTTTATGCTCATGTCTTTGTTGCTTGGGCTTATTTTGGATTTATAATGTTTGTTATCTATAAAGAATTGGTTTATTATGTTTCTCTAAGACATTCTATTCAAACTACTCCCCTTTATGATGGGTTATTATCTTCAAGAACTTTATCCCTAGTTAATTTACCAGAAGATTATCTTTCTGAAGATGAAATTAGAAGAATTTTCCCAATTTATACAAGATTATGGTATGCTCGTGATCATACTGAACTAAATAAATTAGTTGAAGAACGTACCAAACTATCAACCAAGTATGAAGGTGCCTTGAATGGTGTCATTGCAAAAGGTGTTAAATTACAACAAAAATTAACTAAAAAGGGTGAAACATTACCAACTGAACCACAAGGTTATATTAAAAAAGAACCAACTCATAAATTGGGTAAAATTCCATTTATTGGTGAAAAAGTTAATACTATAGATTATTCAATTGATAAAATTGGGGAATTAAATACAGATATTTCAGATCGTCAAAAAAATGCAAATACTGCTCAACAATTACATTCTGTTTTCATTGAATTCCCAAATCAATTGGAAGCTCAAAGAGCTTATCAATCTGTTCCATATACTGATTTGAAAAAGACAACAAGATTTATTGGTGTTGCTCCTGATGATATTATTTGGTCAAATTTAAAAGCTTCCAAAACTTCAAAAACATTGAAAAGAATTGGTGCAAATACTTTCTTAACTTTATTAATTATCTTTTGGGCTATTCCTGTTGCTGTGGTTGGTTGTATTTCAAATGTTAATTTCTTGATTGAAAAATTACCATGGTTAAGTTTTATTAATAATTGTCCACCAGTTATCTTGGGTTTAATTACAGGTCTTGCACCAACTATTGCTTTAGCAATTTTGATGTCCCTTGTTCCAGTTTTCATTAAATTAGCTGGTAAAATGTCTGGTGCTACAACAAAACAAGAATTAGATTTATATTGTCAATCTTGGTATTATGGATTCCAAGTTGTTCAAGTTTTCTTAGTTACAACATTAGCATCAGCTGCTTCATCAACTGTTACTGCAATTATTAATGAACCAAAAAAAGCTTCAACTTTATTAGCTAAGAATTTACCAAAAGCTTCAAATTTCTATATTGTTTATTTCTTATTACAAGGTTTAGGTATGCCAGGTATGGCATTATTACAAATTGGTCCATTAATTGTTTCAAAAGTCCTTGGTTTCCTCAAGAACACACCAAGAAAAAAATGGGAATCATTTAATACTATTGGTGGTCCTTCATATGGTGTCTTGTATCCAGTTTATCAATTATTAGTTACAATTACATTTTGTTATGCTATTATTCAACCATTAATGCTTGTTTTTTCAGCATTTGCATTTGCTTTAATGTATATTGCCTTTTTATATAATTTGATTTATGTTCAAGGTGTTGATACTGATATGAGAGGAAGAAATTATCCAAAAGCCCTTTTACAAATCTTTACTGGTATTTATTTGGCTGAAATTTGTTTATTAGGTTTATTTATTATGGCTGAAACTTATGGTCCTGTTGGTTTGATTGGTGCTTTAATGGTTGCTACTGTTGCATTCCATATTTGGTTAAAATATAAATTTGTTTCATTGTATGATGCTGTCCCTGTTAATGCAATTTATGAAGCTAGAGGTGAAGGTTCATTATATCCAAATCATGATCAAGGTTTTAAAGAAATTAGAGAAACTGGTAAGAATTATATTTCTGATAATGAATCTAAAGGTTTTACATCACATGGTTTAGATGATACTAAACCTCCAGTTGTTCCAGGTTCAAGTACTGGTGGTGTTTTAGGGGATTCTAATTCTTCAAGAAATGAAACTGTTATTAATGATGGGAATACAAATACTTCAAGAACAAATGAAAAAATTGGTGAAGATGGTGTTGATGTTGAAGGAGGTCAAGGAAACTCTTATGATCAAAAACAAATTGAAACTGAAACTGATGTTAATAAAATTGGTTCCCAAGCAAAAGCTCAACCATTAGATGTTGTTAAAAGATTTTTTGCACCAAAATCTGGTTATTCTTTCGCATTAATTCGTTCACAATTACCATCAATTTTTAATTTATCACCAAGTTATAAATCTGAATACTTGGATAATGCATATGTTGACCCAGCAGTATCTGATGATGAACCTCATATTTGGATCCCAAGAGATCCTTGTGGTTTATCAACTTATGAAATTGAAAAAACTGGTGGGAAAGTTGATGTTAGTGATGAACACACTGAATATGATGATAAAGGTAAATTTGATGTTACAGGTCCTCCACCTTCTTATGAAGAAGCTGTTCAAACTTAGGAGTTTATGAGTTGATCTAATGATTTTATTTTCCCTTTATACACTATTTACAATTACAATTACAACTAATAATTAATTTTTAAAATTATGACACTTTTCATCCCACTAGATCTCTGTTCTTTTTTCAGGTTTATTTGTTATATTTTATCATATTTGTATTCTTACTTATCTTACTATTTTTTTACTTTTCCTTTGTTACTTTTTTGGACTTTATAGCTTTTAATTAAATTGAAATTGAAATTGATTAAATAATGTTTTATGTAAGAAGTTTATACTATTCGCGAAATTTTTAGTTTGTTATCTTTTATGGGGAATTTTTGAATTCTTATTTAAATTGTGAAATTGCCACTTTGATTTTGGAATGAAATAATCAGCAATAAACAAAGAAGACAATCAATTGGTGCTAATAGGTTGTTATTTCAATATGAGTGAACGAATCATCCAAGTTACAATCCATCATGGAACCATTTCTAAAACTTCATCATTAGAATTATCCAAAATTAATAAAGAACGTTTAATTAAATTAGTTAGGAAAGAATTAGGTTTCAATAAATCAACAAGTTTTAAATTAACAAGAAAATCTAAAAGATCAAAAAAATATGTTCCATTAGTTGATCATGGTGATTTTAAAGCATTAGGAAGATCATTGGATGTTAAGAATCATTTGAAATTAAAGATCGAAGATGTTGTTGAAAAAGAGAAGGAGAAGGATGAGAAGGATGATGACAAGGATGAATTTGAATTTAAACAAAAGGAGTATGATTATTTGGTTACTAGAATTAATGAAATGAAGGAATCAATTGATCAATTTAAACAAAAAATTAATGAAAAAACACCAATTCCAAATGATCATCAACGTCCAGACTTAGTTTCAATTCCAACAAGAATTCAAAACATTTCATCAAATGTTATTCATCCAACTATTTATTGTGATGTTTGTAATCCATTTGATGATTATAATGGTCGTATCAAGGGGACAAGATATCAATGTAGAGATTGTTTTAATTATGATTTATGTGAATCTTGTTATGTACAAGGGAAATTTAGTGGTGATCATTTGAAAACTCATTCTATGAATAAAATTTCAATTATTCCAAAAGATTGTTTTGTTGGTGAACAAGTTGATGAGAATGAGGATGTTGAAACTGTTGAATCTGTTGAAACTGCTGAGGAGAAAGGTGATGAAAAAGGTGATGATCCAAATGCTATTTATTTAGATATTAATGTTGATCCAATTGATTCAAAAGAATATGAATCAAAAATTGTGGAATTTGTTTCCAAGTATAATGATGTTTCAAAATTATCAAAAATTTTATCAAAAATTCAAACATATGATCATTTATTATCATTAACTGATAATGATGAAGTTTTATTATCAACTATGGTTGAATCATTTATTGAATCAAATAAAAATCAATCAATTGAGAATAAGAGTTCAATTTCCAAGAAACCAAATTTATCAATTGAAATTTCTCAAATTGATCAAACTTTAATCTTTCATTTACAAAATAAAAGTTCATTATTAACACCAAAAAATTTAACATTAGTTATGAAAATTGTTAATAAACATGAAGGTGAAGGTGATATTGATAATGTTACAAAATTTAATTTATCAATTGGTCCTCATTCAATTTATCCAAATGGTCATAAAAGATTATATTATAATTTAAATGGAATTTATGAATCAAATTTTAAATTATTTGATAATAAATTTACAATTGAATTATTTGATGAATTTAATAAATTATTCGCATTAGGTATTTGTATTAATGGTTCTGGATTAGTTGAATTAAATGATGATTTAAATGTCTTGGAAAAATTATCAAATATTGATATTGATGATAAAGATGAAGATGAAATTGATGAAGATGGTTCATCAGAACAAATTTTACAACAAACTAATTCAAATTCAAATTCAAATTCAAATTCTGATTCAAATTCATCATCAAGTCAATTTGTTACACCATCAAATTCAACATTTATTACTGATCAAATTTTCCAATCAAAAGAAGATTTAATTGATATTGAATCTAAAACAGATTCATTAGAATCAACAGAAACAGCAGATTCAGCATCAACAACAGAATCACCAAAAAGTTCAATCAATCCACGTTCTTCAACTTCAACTTTAACACCTGAATTTTTAGAAGTTGATGATAATCTTGATGCAATTGATGCAGTTGTTAGTACTGATTTATCAGATGATGAAGTTGATGATAATGATAGTTTTACTGAAGATTATGAAGTCTTATCAACTGATGATTATTCAGAATAGGTGGTTACTTTCAATTCGTAAGTTAACATCTTGATGTTGTTTAACTTTTATGGTTACTTTTATGATTATTTTACTTTTTTATTTTTACTTTACTTTTATTGGGTTGTTTTTTTTGGGCCTAGGTTTTATTTTTATGGTTATTAAGGGATACGCGTACAAAGGTTATTTCAATTCTTTTTTATACTTTTATATATTTTCAAATATTTTAAATGATGATTGCTTTAAATGAATTTTGAATTTTGTAGTAGTTTAAAATTTCAAAAGTGTTGATGGAAGTCGCGAAATATTTTTAATTAAATCAAAAGCTTTGAAAAGTAAACCGTCAATTGAAATCTGAACCCATAATCTGAACTAGACTAAGAAAGAAGGACACTTAAAGGCATAGAAACTACATCAGTATGGCATCGAATACACAGGATACACCAGCATTAACAGAAGGTAAGTCTTTCCAAGCTTCCCAAACGGATCATCATTGATTAAAACACTAGAAATATAGTATACTAACAAATTAAGAACAAATATATAAACAAAAATGTAAAGATTTAAAAAAAAGAATAAATGAAGTTGAAAATAATAATAAAGTTGCAACATTAGCCGTGGAAAGAACTAAAATTGCTGTTAATAGATTACGTTTACAATATGCTATTTTATTAGAAAGATTAGAGAAAAAGGCAGTTATACCTGATGGTGATGAATTATCAGATTCTTCAGATGTAAGTAGGGAATCATATTGATTTGATGGAATTGTGAGACTAATGATTGATATAGGAAATTGAAATAAGTGAGAAGAAGAGTAATGGGAAGAGAAAGAAGGGTGTTTTGAATAATTCTACTCCAAGAGATCCTGATATGCCAAAAAGACCATTAAATCCATATTTAGTGTATGTATTGACCTCCTAGAATTAATGAGGATAAGGTACTAATTGTTCTTTATAGTTTTTGTGAAATTGAAAAAGAAAAATTTAAAAAAGAAGCAGAAGCTGAAGGTAAACAAATTGATTTATCTAAAACATTAGGTGAAGCATGGAAACAATTAAGTTCTGAGGCAAAAGAACCTTATTATAATATTTATAATGAAGATAAAGATAGATATGCAAGAGAAATGAAAACTTATGAAGCTAATAAAAATAAAAAAATTAAAATTGAAAAAGATGATAAAGATCATGAAAATAAAGAAGGGGATGATGAACCAGGTTCTGGTGGTAATGATGATAAAAAGGAAGATACAGTGGAACCTAATTCAGAAGCGTGAACTATAATTCTTTGTTTATTTAATGTCTTAAAATCTCAGCTACGATTTTTATGTATTCTATTTCTAAAAATGCAAAATTTTATTATGTTTTAATTTCTATTGTACAATTATATAATTACAAGTTTTTAACCTCTTCTTTGTGATTTCTTTTTGGTATGATAATAACCACTTTCATCTTTTTCATGTCTTCTCTTTTCTCTTGTTCTTTCATGTTTTCTAATTTTTCTTCTTGCAATTGCTTCAGGTGCAGTTACTGCTAATCTTGCTCTATTTGTTCTTCTTTCTTGACGTTTATTCAAGACATTTTGACGAACTTTTGAATAAATTTGAACATATTCTGTAACACCAATTTTATTTTCAATCATTTTCATACATTCTGTTGATAAATTATTTAATTCTTGTTTTTCATCAGAATCTGATTCTAATTCTGTTAAATTAAATAATGGTAACATTATAATTTCTGAATCTTCAAATAATCTTTCCTTACTTAAAATTTGTGAAATTAATGCAATTAATTGAATACCTGATTTTTTGGAAATGAATGTATTTCTTTCAGATCTAATAACTCCACTAACTTTACTAATAACCCAACTTGTCATTTTTTGAACAGTCTCGCCTTCAACTTCAGCTTCTTGTTCTTCATCATCACTTTCATCTTCATTATTTTTCAATTTTTCATATAATGTATTATTAGTTTCCCAATATTGAATCATTGTTGCAAGATTTTTAATAATTTGTGAACCTAATTTTTCATCAACTGAAGGTGCACGTAATTGATGAACTAATCTATATGCAATATTTTGTAATTCATCATCTTTAAATGTATCTTCTTTGACAATTAATGAACCAATCAATCTAGTTGATGCTAATCTAACCCATGAATGTGGGAATAGTAAACAATCTATGATATTCTTTTTCAAATCAGCATCTAATTTAGTTGAATCACTTTCAAAAATTAATGGTAAACAAGTTAATGCACCATAAACTAATTCCCATGTAACTAAACCTTCAGATTCTGCTTTAGAACTTTCTAAAACATTCTTAATTGAATTCAAAACAGCTTCATCTAATTCACTACCAAAAGTGGATGTAACTTTTAATTTGATCTTGAATAATTGGAATGAACATTTTAATAATGATGAATTACCTGCATTTAACCAACCTAAAATATATTTTTCATAATTTTCCACTCCAGTTTTTTCAAAAATTGAAGTAATTAAAGCAATTGACATTTCACGACTTTTTGTTGAAGTTTCAGAAATTAAAATTTTAGCTAAAGCAACAAAAAATGATGAAGATAAAGCTTCAACAAGTTCTTTACCTGATTTATGTAGAATCAAATGAATTAATTCCATAACTGATTGTTTACCAGTTTCTGCTGGATAACTTAAATTATTAACCAAAAATTTGAATTGTTTTTCTAATCTACCTCTACCTTGATCATATTCCATTATAAATTGGAAATAAATACTTCTTGACATATCTCTTCTTTCTTTATGATGACTTGTAACCATAACTTCTCTAATTTTATCCATTGTATCATAAATTTCTGGAATCATAACATGTTTAGCAACAAGTGCTTTTAAGAAATTAAATGCAAGACCTTGTCTATTTTGTTCAGTTAAATCAGGTTGAACTTTAATTAATAAATTTTTCAATGAAGAGTCTTTCAATTTTAAATCATCTTTATGACGAATAACATTTGATAAAAATTTATAACATGCTTGACATAATTCAGATTCAGTTGATGGATAATTTTCAATAATTGTTAAACATCTTCTTGCAGAATTTTTAAAAATATCAATTTCTGTATCAAATTCAACATTTATAATTAAATTGAAAACTTTTAATCCACTAATTATAACACCTTCATTTTCAGAATTAATAGCTTCAGTTAAAAATGGTAAAAATCCAATTAAATTTTCTGCAACAACAAATTCAGAATTTTTATTTAATGTAACTCTTAATAATTCAAGTGATAATTTTTGGAAAGTATCAATATAAATTGAATTTTCAGTTTCAACTTTTAATGGTTTAGATTCTAATTGAACCAAGAAATGACTTTGATCTTTACCAGTTTTTCTTTCAGGTCTTGAAAAATCCTTTTTAGATTCTGCAAATAATTCATAACATAAAATAAGCATTTCCTTAGTATGCATATCATCATTTTTATGAATACCTGATGAAATTCTTCTTAATAATTCATCTAATTTATTTTGAACTTTATAAGTAATTCTTTCTTGTAATAATAATTGAATTGGTCTAACAACACTTTGGAATTTATTTAAACTTAAACCTTTTGTAAGCATTTCTGCAGTATCAAAACTCTTGTTGAATTTGATTTCCTTCATATTTGTTCTATAATTTTCAGCTTCTTTTTCCATACCTGTTGTACCGAAAATATTTTCCATAACAATTTCCATAATTGCTTCAGAAGATTCATCTAAATCACCATGTTCAAATGTCATTGCAGAAAGAATATGATGAACTGTGAAACCCAAGACATGAATTTGTGAACCACGAGATAATGCAGTTTTCAATTCACTTATGATAAATTTAATATATTTAGCACCTAAAATTTCAGTAGCTCTTGTTAAATATTTTCTTGTTGCATCTCTTGTTTCATCAGATTTAGCTCTTAAAACTTGACAAATATTTGTCAAAACACCTGGTAAAACAGAAACAATACGTTCATGAGTTAAACATTGGATTAAAGAAGCTAATGATTCAATTAATGGTGTTCTTAAAACAACAGTTTCATCATCTCTCTTGTTTAAAACTTTTGATAATGGTGTAATCATTTCATTTTCAATAAATTTATTTAAAATATTTTCATCTTTTGGTAAACCTTGAATATAATTTTCTTCTTTATTTGTAACAACATGCATTAAAGATTTTGTAATTGCAATAATTAAATTAACAGAATCTCTTAAAGTTTCACTACCTTCTTTTAATCCACTCATATATCTTCTAAAAATAGCTTGATATTGTTTAAAAGTAACAAATCTCATTAATGATTGAATAGTAATATTAGCTTCATTTGAAATATTTCTAAATTTTTCATCTTCATAAAATGCATAACGTTCCACAATTGGTAACATATAATGAGAAATATTTGAACTTGAAATATCTGAAGCTTGATCACCTAATCTCTTGATAGCTCTTTGACGTCTATGAATTTGAATATGACCAACATTAATAAAGAAATTAGCTTCTTCATCACCATGGAATAATAATGATTTCATATCATTAAATTCTGTAAAATGTTCAGTTGATACAATATGTGATAATAATGAAACATATTCAAAATGAACAGATTCATTTTTTGATCTTAAACCCATTCTTAAACTTGGTAATAATAAATCTTTATAAATATGAACAAGATTTGAATCATCATTACTTATTATAATAGAATCAATAAAACGTCTTAATAAATAACCAGCATTAGTTCTAACTGATAAATCTTCATCATTAACATGGAATAATGATGTATTTAATAAAGGTAACCATTCTAAACGACCTAATTGGGAATATAATTCATCATTAATTTTTCTAAAAGCAGCTAATCTTCTATCATAATCATATTCATTTAATTGTCTAGCAGAAAAGGAATTTAATTCCACAATTAATGAAGTTATTTCTTGAACTTGATTGAATTTCTCACCAATAACTTCAAATAATTGAACTAATAATTTACGTGATTCTTTATCAGTAAAATTTTTCAAAAATTTTGAACCAACAATATATAAATTTTCAATATCTGAGAATTCACCTTCAAAATTTTCCACTAATGCAATCAATACTTTTAAGATTTGCACTTTCATATCTTTTGGTAATCCACCAGTTGGTTTTGTTAAAATTTTTGTGGAAAAATCAACTAATGATTGTCTTTTTTCTTGATTTTGAACATGTCCTTTTTCAACTAATGCTAATAATAAATTAATAGATTTTGTTTGTAAAATTTGACTTGTTGAACGATTTAATATAATTGGAATAGATTCTAATGTATTATCAGTAATAATTTGAAATAATTTTTGAAATTTCTTCTTTTTGGAATTAAATGCTGATATAACATTAATTGAAAATTCAATAATTTTTTCCACAACTTCATCTTTAGTATTTGAATTATGTAACAATGATAAAATTTTTCTTGTTGGTTCATGATCATTAATTAATAATAAATCTTGATAATTTAAATATTCAGACCAACAAATTAAAATTTTTAATAATGAAGAAGGTTGTTGTAAATTTTCAATTTCAAAATTTTCAAAACGTGGTTGTAAAACAGATTCATAAATTGATTCAATATGTAAATCCCAATCAAATGAAGTTGAAACTTGAAATAAATGATATAAATCCTTCATACCAGCTTGTCTAACAGAACGGGCAGTATTTAATAATTGAACATCAGAAATTTCATCTTGATTTTTATCAATGATTTTTTGAGCAACAACTAATGAATTAATCATTGGTGGTAATATAATACCTGCAAAATTTGAAAATTTTTCACCTAAATGATTCAAGATATCATTTAATAAATTGAAAAACCCATTTGATTTTCTTAATGAAGTTACCGTGATTTGATCAACTGATTCATCAAAATTTTCTAAAACTGAACCACCACCATTCATTCTTTCAAATGCAAAACCTAGGAATTCTGCAATGAATTTTGAATCTAAATTTGGCAATGAAGTTATTGCAGCAAATTTAATACCCCGTTTAGTACCATTTGTTATAGAACTTTGAGCTCTTGCAAATAAAATTCTTGAAATTAATGGCATAACATCATCTAAATCTTCAGATTCTAAAGCGGTTTCACTCCCCGTGGCTAATAATTTGGAAATTTCATCTCTAAATAATGAATCATCTAATAAATTTAATAAATTTTCTCTATATTTTATAACATGTTGATTTTTAAAATTTAAAAGATTATTTAATGCAATTTTTCTTGCATCTGGATTTTTACTTGATAATAACCTTAGGAATAATTTATATAATTCATCAGCTTTTGGTGCGGTTTTTAATTTTTTAAATAAACTGAATAATGATAACATTGAATTTCTATCTTTTTTATTTAAATTAATTGAACCTTCTTCATTTTCTTCATCATCATCATTCTCAAACCCATTAAAGACTAAAGTTTCTAATTCTTCAGCATTTCTTTCAGCTAATGAAGGAATCTTTGTTAAAATTTTTATAGCATGAGATGTAATAACTTCAGGATAATCCACAGGTGAAAATCTTGTTTCAATTAAATTAAAAATTGAATATTCATAATTAATAAATTGATTAACCACTGAGGAAATCCCACCAATAATTGCAGAAAATCTTGATTCTAATGAATCCCATTCTGTAGTGGAATCATCTTCATCCATTGGTTCAAAATCAAATGATAATTCCAAATGAGGTAAATTTTGTCTATTAATAAAACTAAATGTTAATTCCCAAACCAGGGAAGGATCTTTATTATAAGTATTTGGTAAAACTTCCCAAATTGCTTCCCAAGCAGGTTGGAATCTAACAGTTAATAACCCAAATAAAAATTTAAAATATAATTGATTTGTTAATTGATTTGTTTGCATTAATTTGAAATCATTGGATAATGATCTCATTCTTATTGCTATATCACGGGCAGTTTCTAAAGTTAATGGAATTTGTTCAATGATTAAACATTGATTAGCAATTTGGGTTAAATTTTCATCATTTAGCTTTGTGGATAGGATGTTTATCCAGTTTAATGAATTTATTCTAACTTCATGATCTGGGGATATTAAGTTATTAATCAAGACTGTGATTAATTCAATTAATTCATCATTTGATAAATCTAAAGTCTTGATAGAATTTATAAATTTATATGAACATTTTAAAAATTCTTTATTTGAACCTAATTTTAAGAAATTTTTTAAAATTAAATCACGAACTTGTGAAACTTCTTCTTCGGTATTTAATAAGGTTAAAATTTTAGAAAGTATAATAATTTTTAAATAAGAATCTTGAACTTGATTATTGATATCATTGAAAAATTTTAATAAAAATTTTTGATTATGGAATGATGAATATGATAATATTGAAATTCTCCAAAAAATTTCAATTAATTCTTTATCAGAGGTTATTTCCAAGTTTTTTAATTGATTTAAACATGCTTCACCTGCATCTGATGATAAAACAATTGAAATTTTTTCAGAATCATCTTTTGAACCTAATAATTCTCTTTCACTTAAAATTTCTAAAAATAATGCAATTTGTTGAGTTTTTGAAGACCAATTTTTATTAATAAATTCCTGGATAAATGATGAAGCATAAGTTAAAGTTCTTTGCTTGGATAAATCTAAAATCTTTATAATAAAAGGTAAAAATAAATCATTTAATTTTATCATTGATTTAAAAATTGTATTATGATACTTGGTTAAAGTTTTAACATCTGAATTACGAATTAAAATTGAAATTAAATTAACAAATAATGTTTGATCTTTTGTTGATAATGGAGTTGATTCATTTAATTTAAATGATTTTATAATAGAATCAACTAAAATATCCCAATTTGGTACTTTATAACCAGAATCTGCAAATGTTAAAATTGTTAAAATTCTTAAATGATTAGCTAAATGTGTGTTAGGAATTTCATCTAATAAATTTTCACTTTGTTTTAAAGTAATATCATATAATTCATTAACAGCTTCAGGAGAACCATAATTTATAACAGTTAAAAGCACATCACAAGTAATAACAATAGATTCAACATTATTAGAATTTTTCAATAAATTTGTTATTATTGATGAAGATTTTGAATGGATTGAACCTTTTGTTGATTTCATAGCTTCACTGAAGAATGTAACAGCAGCTTGTTTATATTGTGTTGTATTTGAAGTTGTTGTATTTGATGCATTGTTAAAGACAAATTTTATAACTTTATTTAATTCATCAATTGAAGATTTTCTAATAAGGAAAGCTAAAGCTTCTGATGAGAATCTTGAAATATGTTCTTTGGCATTTAATAAAGGTTCTAATAATTTAAAAGTGGGTATAAGATCTTGAACTAGATATTTTGATAAATATTTAAAAATATATGCTAAACAATTAAATTCCCATTCTAAAGTATTTGAATCATTATTTGCCAGAGCTAATTCAATGATTAATTCTAAAGTCTTGGTATAAAACTCCATAAAATCAGGACCAAGATCATGAACAAATTGTGTTAATAATTCTAATAAAGGTTGTAAAGATAATGGATCTTTTTTAATGATATGACTATGTAATGAATCAAATATTTGAGATTTATAATGTAAGATTTGTGGTAAACTTTGAACAAATGAATCCACAGATTCAACAAACCCGGTGAACACAGCAGATCTATTAATTTCTGACCATCTTTCATAACTAGCAACGAAATGTGAAGTTTCAGTTTCATCAAAAGCTCTTCTATTTAATTTTTTAGATGGTTCAATTTTGATAGAATCGATTCTCTCTTTGAATGAGGAATAGGCATATCTCTTTGCCGATTTGGTGGTTTTGATCTTGGGCATGGTGACAGTAACAACCTAGCAATGAACCTAGCAATAACCTAACAACAACCTCTTCAATCAACTATTCTTCCCAAACACAGCGGTTAATTTGTTCTTCCTATAAAAAGTATTTTTGTTTATGTTAAATTAATTTTTTTTTCTGCTCATCGCGAAGGGTAACGATTATGTAAGTGATTGTGTAAGCACTAAGAAATTAATTTATATAATACTCATTACAAAAGAATGAAAGAAAAGAAGAACAAAGGGAAGAAGAAGAACAAAGGATACAACAAGGATTATATTGAAGATGTCGGATAACCAGGAGACCACTAGGTTATTACCAACAGAACAACAAGGAACACCAGGGACATCTGTACAGAGGAATACAGAAAGTAGGACTACATTAGAAAGAGCTCCATTACCAACATCAACCCTTCAACAACAAAGAAGATCCACTACAAGATCAGTTTCAGAAAGATTAGGACCACAAAGATTATCACGTACAACTCAAAAATTAAAATTATTACCAGATGAACCAATCCCAGAGGAAGCTAACGATGAAGGTTCAAATTCAAGAGGTGATGTTTATTCTCAAGTTAATAGAATAAAAGATACACCTGCTCGTAGAGATGCTGAAAGATTAGGTAAAAATCAAAGATCTTTATTACCAAGAGTCACTGCTTATTGTACTTCAAGTTCTTACAAGATGAAGGATTTAATTAGATGGTTGAAAGATCATAAACGTAGTCATGATTCTCATCCAAAATTATTTGATGAATGTCTTTATACACCATTTGTTTATAAAGATTGGAGAGGTGACAAGAGAATTGATAAAAATTTGATAAGATTAGATGATGAAGGTGGTGAAATTACAATTGATGATGTTCATACTGATGTATTCATATTTGAATATGGTGTTGTTGTTCTATGGGGGTTTACATTGAGAGAAGAACAAGCTTTCTTGAATGATTTAGAAAAATTTGAGAATGAAAAATTGGCACATGAAGATTTACAAATTGAAGAATTTAATTATTATATAACAAAGAGTTATCAACCAAGAATTTATAATGATTTTATTACTCTTAGGGATGGTTCAAATTATATGTTGAAACTTTCAATCTCCCATGCTATTTCACAATCTGTTAAAATTTCATTATTTGAAGAATTAGTGGATAATACTATTGAAGATACACAGGATATCCCACAACAAATTGCCCAAGCTGGTAAAGTTGAAATGAACAAGGATGAAATAATGAAAAGTATAGGAGAATTATTCATCCTAAGGATAAATATTAATTTACATGGTTCTGTCTTAGATTCACCTGAAATTATGTGGTCAGAACCTCACCTCGAGCCAATTTATCAAGCAACAAGAGGTTATTTAGAAATTAATCAAAGAGTTGCATTATTAAATCAAAGATTAGAAGTTATTAGTGATTTATTACAAATGTTGAAAGAACAATTGGGTCATTCTAATGAAGAATATTTGGAATTTATTGTTATTATTCTTGTTGGTGTTGAAGTGTTGGTTAGTGTTATAAATATTGTTGTTGATATTATAGCGGATTTGAAGTAATTTAGCGTTAGCTAAATTAATTAATAGCTAATAGTAATAGATTAATGCTAATATACAACTGGTTTGTACTACAACTTTATCAAAGATTCCGAAATCATAACATTAGTATCCACCTAAAAACTAAATATAAAACCCATATAATGTACAATAATTTACAAATTCATAAGCTATTAAACTTATAATTCTTGAGAAGCTTTTGGAGCTTTTGTTGATTTCTTTGGTAATAAGTTTTGATGAATGTTTGGTAAAACACCACCTTGAGCAATAGTAACATGACCTAATAATTTATTTAATTCTTCATCATTTCTAATTGCTAATTGTAAATGTCTTGGGATAATTCTTGTTTTTTTGTTATCTCTTGCAGCATTACCAGCTAATTCTAAAATTTCAGCAGCTAAATATTCTAAAACAGCAGTTAAATAAACTGGAGCACCAGAACCAACTCTTTGAGCATAGTTACCTTTTCTTAATAAACGATGAACTCTACCAACTGGGAAAGTTAAACCAGCTTTAGCTGATCTTGATTGAGATGCTTTTTCAGAACCACCGGCTTTACCACCTTTACCACCAGACATTGTGTGTATATATTATTTGTTTGATTGATGAGGAATAAGAGAATTAATAACTTCACATTTCAAGTGGATCTTTGATAGTTTTTATATTCAGACTTGTTTTCAACATTGACGCGGTAAAATTAAAATTGATGAAATCCTTTGTTTACTTTTTTGTAATAGTGGTATCACTGGTGCTATGATTTACACGGTGTTTTATTGAATGTGTAAAAATGGGAACCGGGTTTAAAAAACTCAAAAAGTAGCGGTGCCACAAATTACACGGGGAAATAACTGTTAAGTAAGGTAAAATGGAGCACCGGAGATACAACAAGACGCGCTTTCCAGGACCACAATTTACACTGAGAAACAATACTTAACTAGTGGAACACAGTGTAAATCACAGAACAGAAGACACGCTTTTCATCATTTTAATATACATAAACAACAAAATGAGTTTTAAATGACACGGTTGTTGAAATTTAGTATCGCGTTTGAATTCAATAAAGTAAACAAACATTTGAATTTCAATGCATTCTTATAATTTCAATATGTGTATATAAACCATAAACATCCCATCAATTCTCAACATTGAATAAACATATTTCTACTTCATACATCAACACATATCAATAACAATGGCACCAAAAGCTGAAAAGAAACCTGCTTCAAAAGCTCCAGCTGAAAAAAAACCAGCTGCTAAAAAAACTTCATCATCATCAGATGCTCCAAAAAAGAGATCAAAAACTAGAAAAGAAACTTATGCTTCATATATCTATAAAGTTTTAAAACAAACTCATCCAGATACTGGTATTTCACAAAAAGCAATGTCAATTATGAATTCATTTGTTAATGATATTTTTGAAAGAATTGCAGGTGAAGCTTCAAAATTAGCCTCATATAATAAAAAATCAACAATTTCTGCAAGAGAAATTCAAACTGCTGTTAGATTAATTTTACCAGGTGAATTAGCTAAACATGCTGTTTCTGAAGGTACTAGAGCTGTTACTAAATACTCTTCATCAACTTCAGCTTAGATTGATTGATAACTTGTTTATCATTGTATTTTATTAGGGATTTAGTTTTTAATGTTGGTTTAAGGTAAATTTGTATATTAGGAATTAATTTACGGTTAAAAGAAGATGATTGTAGTACTGTTTATTTAGCGATAGCTAAATTAAACATTATTTAGTAATACTTTTAGTTATAATTGTAATTTGATTCCTTATAGTTGGGTTCCTTATAGCTTTTTCTTGTCTCGTACGAGAAGTAATTGAAACCCGAAATACTTACTAATGATACATAGAGTATGTGATAATCCAGGATAATAAGATTTCATTAGTAACATTACTAACCAATTACTAGTTGAAAGTGAATATAAGATGCTATACATTTGATGAGTAATATCACTTGTTTAATTAAGTTTATTATTTATTTGTTCTAGTACTTATCAAAGAATTAAGTAATATAGCAATCAATTGAAAATCTATATAAAGGGATGAAAAAGATGTAAAGAATCAAACAAAGAATGATCTATTCGTTATCATAATCTCATTATACAATCAATTGATATATAACAATGACTGAACAAATTACTGATTTATCCAAATTAAACGTCCTTGTATTCGGTGGTACTGGTGGTCTTGGAAGAGCAATTTCTCAAAATTTAGCATCAAGAGGTGCTCAAGTCACAGTTATTGGACAAACTTTTAGAGATTCTGATATTAAAAATATTAATTTTATTAAAACTGATTTAAGTTCAATTAAATCATCACAAAATTTAGCTCATGAATTAGATGTAACCAATGTTGACCTAGTTTTATTTACAACTGGTATCTTAGCATCAAAACAAAAACAAGAAACTTCAGAGGGGTTAGAAAAAGATATGGCTGTTAGTTATCTAAATCGTTTATCAATCCTAAAAATCTTATTACCAAAATTACCAAAATCTACTAATCATGGGTTTAAAGGTTCAAGAATATTCATCATGGGATTCCCTGGTAATAATCAATTAGGTTCTCCAAAAGACTTGAACCAAGATGAAACATATCATTATTGGACTACACATATGAATACAGTTGCAGGTAATGAATCCCTAGTAACCTCGCTCTCAAAGACATACCCCCAAGTTAAAATCTTTGGATTAAATCCAAACCTAGTCAAGACAAACATTCGTTCAAATTTATTTGGTGATGGTTATTTGGGAACTGCATTTGAATCAGTCCTTGGTTGGTTTACTAATACTCCTGAACAATATGCTAATGTTATAACACCTCTTTTAGTTTCACCAGAATTGAATGATGATGATGGTGGGTTTTATAATCATAAAGGTCAAAAAATTCCTGGTTCAAAAGGATTGGATAAAGAATATGCTGATGAGTTTATTGATGCTAGTGTTGAAGTTTTGAAAAAGAAGGGTATTGATGTTTAAGTGGATATTATCGGTATATATATGGTTTTTTAATGAATGTATTTGGTTTTATTTATGATTTTATTCATGTAGCTATTGAATACTGACTGTGTCTTTGAATAGTATGTAGTATGTAGTATATACCATAATTAAGGCCAATGGTTATGTTCGTTTGGTGGACGGTCCTATATAAACAATAATACCCAAACAAATTTTGAGAATATAAGTCAATTCAAACTCATTTTGTTGATGTATTGATTACCAGGAACTACAACACAATGGTGAATGCATACACAGGCTATATATATAATCTTTATACTGATCCAATATTATTTGAAGATACAATTGATAATTTAAATGATTATTTACCACAACCTTTAATTGAATTTAAATTACAAAATTTATTCAGGATACGTCAACAAGAGAAATTAGGAACAAAGAATGAATATTATCTTGACATTAATAATACGAAGGAATTATACAAAGGTGAGTTTCTCCCTTTTGGTGCTTTTTATAATAGGACACAGAACTAACTAATGATAGCTATTGATGAAATAAAATATGAGTTTTGTATATTAGGAAGAGAATCAAATTTCAAAATTGTTAAAAGACTTGGATTAAAAAAAGATGAGAAACCAAAGTTCTTTAATTCATTATGGAAGATTTTCTTCGCTGCACCTATAGTTTATGATAAATTTTTAAGTGGTTCAGAAACTGATGATAAAGAAAATATTGATAATCTTTCAATTTTTAATCATGCATTTAAATCTATCCGTTTCCAATCTATTAAAGAAATCAAAGATGATGAATTCCTTAGAAATATCAAAGAATTAGAATTAGTTATCCAGTATTCTTTAAATAAAATGGGTGAAAGAGAGGTTAAAAAAGGAATTGAATCATTACTTGGTAGTCTCAGCACTTATGGTAGATGTATAAGCATCTGGGATCAAGACATAAGATATAGATCAGAAGTTATGGAAAGTTTAATTATGGAACCAATGTTTAGATTTATTCATTATTTATTTTCAATTGATGATGAATATCATTTCCATTATGATAAATATGATCAGATGATTAACAAAACAAAACCAAGTAAAATTTGGGAATTTTTATCAACTAATACCGATGATGCATCATACCCTGAAAATCTTAGAGATGAAGAAATGTTTCATTTATATGTACCAAATTTTCAACTTCAATTATATAACATTAAAGATAAAGACAAGAAAGACAAAAATGATAAAAAAATCAAAAATTTCCAAAAACTTCTATATGTGGAATACATCTAAAAGGTTGGGAATTTTCTAAATTATTACCTGAAAATAAAGATGATAATTTTGCTAAATTATCAAGAATTTTCCGTGAAGTTGTACCATTTCAAATCTTTTCAAAATTTAATAGTTATATAATTAGTAATTTCAATAATAGTTTATATTTTGAATATCCATTAAAAGATGGTGAATGGGAAAGTGATAATGACGAAGAAGTCATACTTGATGGTGCTCCAGTGAGGTATAAATTATTTGATAATGGAGCTAATCCAGCTGATTCTATTTCATTACAATTATTATTAATGTTGAAGATTTATGATACCATTAGAAAAGAATTATGTACAGATTCATGGTTAAAAGATTCTAATGGAAATGATTTATTAACTACAGGTACATATAGGTCATTGGATCAAGGATGGGATGAAAAGGATTTCAATCCATTTGTGTTATCACTATTTAAACATGGGTTTAAAGAAAAAGTTGATGTTGTTAAAATGGATAAGTTGTCAAAATGGATAAGTTGTCAAAAGATGAAACGGCAGATCCAATAGGATATATAGTTCAAGATCCTAGAAAGATAAGATCTTCAAAAAGATTAAAGATTAAAAGGGAATTGGAAAGTATCAAGATTTTTGATCCAACGAAATTATTCCCAACTAATGTCAGTTTACAAACTTCAAATTATGAATTATTAGAAGAATATTCATATTTCCATGGTATAAAACTCAAGATTGAAAGCTCAGATATCTTTAAAAGTAATAATTCAAACATTTCGAATAAAGTATTCTTCAAAATGTTTGATTTAGCAAATTTAAAATATTTACAATGGTATAGATACATTGTTGGTACGCCATCTTATAAAAAAGATGCTAAAATTTTTACTCAATCAGAAATTAATGTATTATCTACGATAGATTATGAATACGTCAAAGATTTTAATTGGATTTTAGAAGTCTTGAAAGAGAGTTATATTAAAGAAATTACGGCTTTGAAAAGGATTAATCATTGGAATTCAACCCATGGGAAAGATGATCAAATTAATTCACCAAGATTATTACAATATGGTTGGACTTATCTTGAATTATTATCATCAAAAGGTGAAGTAGAATATTCATATTGGGGGTCATTCATCTGTACAGAATATCTTGAATTCATAAAAGATGATCAATATGAAAAAAATTCAAAGCGGGAAAAGAACTTGAAGAAACAAATTGAAATTCTTTCCAAAGCAGGGATTGATCATAATGATATAAAAGCGGATAATTATTGTTTTGATGAATTTGATAATGCATATTTGGTTGATTATGGTGAATGTATTATTGATGAGAATCGATATCTTGAAGGTTATGACCTTGAAAAGATTGATCCAGATGAGAAGTGGCTCTAGCTTTATATACCAGCTACCATAAAATTTATAAATGAGATCAGAATATAACTAATTTAGTAGTTCCTTAAGTAACGTTATATTAATGAAATTCATGTACAACATGGAACAGCTCATTCATGAGCTCTAATACTCGAGGGCTCAATTTGAATTTTGGATGCTGTTTGATTTAGATTCTATATGATCTTGTTAATCAAACGTTATGAAACGTGGATCAAGTTTAATTATAGATTTCTTTGAAACTTAATCCAGGTATGTTTAAGATGTTATTAAGTGTACAACACCCGAAACACAACGTATTAAATCCTATAAGTAATCAGATCTTACACCAAAACTAATAAACTAAAGCCAAGTATACACAGATATGAGGCCACTTTAAGAACTATATATAATCATGACATCTGTTACAAGATCATCAAAAGTAATATGCATACTTAATTTGGGGAAACATCAATGAAAACTTCCATGAATCCATGACGCGTCAAGTATGAATTAAATAACCGTGTATAAAACTTTTTCAATATAGTGAATCAAATCTCAAATCTTAAATTCATCCATATTGAGAAAAAGTAACTTGCGTAGTACATATAATATGCTCCTTTACTAGTTTATTCGTGTACCGTGTTGAAATTGGTTATGAAAGTGTACCTTTTAAGCAAATTATTTACTTATGAGTACATTGACATACATTGAAATGAAGTACTAGAACAGCCTTGAAAGTTGAAAGTCGACAACAACTAAGTATAGCAGTATCATAGTATAATATTCATAGTAATAGATATAGTAGTTATCTAATCGCTACAAATCTATTCTTGTACTTTTGAGTCTTTACGTACTCTTTTTTGCTGGCTCTTCTCAATTAGTGAAAAGTTTTCAGTTTGAACCCGAAACAACTACACAATATAACCACAGATATTTACTACTAAACAACACTGTACTTTATTGATATCATTAGAAAGGGAAAGATTACTACTGTTATACTATCAAATAACAAACTCGTCACTATTTAAACCATGATCTAGTAATCCTTGTTCTTGTTCCTGTTCTGTGTACTCACCGATGTGTCAACTCCATTTCAAAAGGAAAGCGCAAGCCTGGAATCAAAAAATCATCGCACAAACTCATCGCAAAGGCTGGAACAACTTCTCCTTTGATTAAGGTACGAGTATATGCACTTCATTAAAGTAATAGTTATATCCACTACCACTATGATCCAATGCCTCCATATTAAAAAGATTTACAATGATTTATTAAATAAGGTACATTATGGATACCCTTATTAACTTTGTTACTTCCTGATATTCAACATTCCTTATACTATTAGATACTTGAAGTAATCAACATTCCATTCACTTGATACCTCATTCATATACAATACATTCATTTCATAATGCTAATACATTCTTTAATACTATCTTCACTCATAATATCAGTATCATGTCAAATACAATTTCAAACAGCAAAAAAATTAACCAAACCAGAACAATCACAATCATTACATAAAAGAGATTCTCATATAAATTTCATTGATGATACCATAGCTTATTATGTTAATATATCAGTTGGCTCTCAAAATCAATCCATATTAGCAGTCCTAGATACAGGTTCTTCAGATCTTTGGTTCCCAGGTTCAAATAATTCCAAATGTAAAGATGGAAAACCTCAAGGTGATAGATTTATTGATAGTGTTGATTTCCCTGAAGGTTCAAATACAACAAAACAAGAAGAATTAACTCAGTTGGCTAAATCTATACAGAATTATTGTTCAAGTGAGAATGTTTTCAATTATCATGATTCCAAGACATGGAATTCAAATGATACTGAGTTTAAAATTACATATTTGGATGGTTCTTTATCAACTGGTATTTGGGGAACAGATTCAATAACACTCGATGGTATAACATTAAATAATTTTTCATTTGCAGTGACAAATAATTCAAATGCATCAGCTATTTTAGGGATAGGTTTATTGAAAAGTGAAACAACATATTTAATAAATGATGAACATTATACATATGCAAATTTCCCACAAAGATTAAAAAATGATGGGATTATTGATAAAGTTGTTTATTCATTGATTCCTGATGTCCCAGGGAGTTATTCAGGTTCTTTATTAATTGGAGGTGTGGATCATAGTAAATATATTGATGAATTAGAGACAATACCAATGATTTCAGATTCAAGAACTTCAGTTGAATTAAATGGTATAGGATTAAGTATTAATGATGATAATGAAACTTTGAGTTCTGATGATTATGAAACTTTATTGGATTCAGGTACAACAACTGCAAATTTCCCTAAACCATTATTAGAGAAATTAGCTAATAAATTAGGATCTTCTGGAAAGATTCATAAACGTGATAGTTATGATTATTATGATGTTGATTGTTCATATTTAGAAAATGAAGATGATTTCATTTCTTTAACTTTTCAAAATAAAACCATTAAAGTCCCATTGAAAAACATGATAACAGAACATGATGATCAATGTTTATTGAAGATATTATCATTAACTGATGACATGATTTTATTGGGTGATATTTTCCTAAGTTCAATGTATATTGTTTATGATTTAGAAGATTTAGAAGTTTCAATTGCTCAATTAGATTTAGATCCTACAAGTGAATCAGATATTGAAAAAGTTGGAAATAATGACCACAAAGCTTCAATAAGCCATTCACTTCATAATCTTGCTTCAAAAGTTAAAAAATATGATGTTTTTTCTACAGTACTAATTGAATAGATTTATATAATAATAAAATTGCATTTCTATAGAATTGAAAAGATATACATGTAGTTTTCTAAAGACAAAAGTACTTCCAGAGCGATTAAATTATCTACCAACCTCTTTGAGATAATTTTTCATTATCTTTTAATTGATCAATAGCAACACCAAACATTAAATCACCTAAATCAGTTGAATATTCCAAGATTTTCTTTGGATCTTTATAATTTGTAACTGCATTAACAATTGCAGTAGCTAATTTTTCTGGATTTTTAGATTTGAAAATACCTGAACCAACAAATACACCATCACAACCTAATTGCATACATAAAGCAGCATCTGATGGAGTTGCAACACCACCTGCTGCAAAATTAACAACTGGTAATTTCCCATTCAAGGTTTTCAATTGATGTAATAATTCCACTGGGATTCTTTCATCTTTAGCAAATTTTTCTAATTCTTCATCAGTTCTTTCTGGAGAAATAATGTATTGAATTTGTTCACTGATTAATGAAACATGTCCAACGGCAGATGATATATCACCAGTACCAGCTTCACCTTTTGATCTAATCATTGAAGCACCTTCATTAATTCTTCTCAAAGCTTCGCCCAAGTTTTTAGCACCACAAACAAATGGAACTTTAAAATTTTCCTTCTTAATATGATTCTTTTTATCAGCTGGTGTAAGCACTTCAGATTCATCAATATAATCAACACCAATAGCTTCCAAAACTTGAGCTTCAACAAAATGACCAATTCTACATTTTGCCATGACTGGGATTGAAACAGTATCCATAATTTCTTGAATTAACTTGGGATCACTCATTCTACAAACTTGACCTGATGCTCTCATATCTGCAGGAATTCTTTCAAGGGCCATAACAGCAACAGCTCCTGCCTTTTCAGCGATTTTAGCTTGTTCTGAATTAACAACATCCATGATGACACCACCTTTTAGCATTTGTGCTAAACCTTTGTTTAATTTTTGTTCTGACATTGTGTACTTTGATCTGTTTGAGTTGTTTTAATCTTGTTCAATTGGATGGGTATAGATCAAACGTTGATTATGTCCCACTATTTATACTGAAAAGAATTCAAAAGTATCTCATAACCAAAAAGTCTTGTTCTTATTAATCATTCTGAGTCAATTAATCCAGATATTCGCTTACGGTTTCAACGATGTTATTGGATAAGGAGTCATTGAGTCATTGAGTCATTGCCAATTGGTAAGCTTTTATACCTGGTACCGTGTACGTATACGGTTTTTGGCCTTTTGGCCTTGGGCTTAACAGTGCCATATTCGCTAAGAATGCGCGCGCCGATGTGGGTGACTCCTGTTTGACGTGGTTGACGTGTTTGACTCGGAATGGGTATCATAGATATGGATTTATGGTGATGGATTCCCGAAGATATGGACATTGGATATATATAGAGGAGGGTACGAGTGGTAGACCAGCGGTAGACCAGTTGGTGAGGAATAGGTGAAGATGACAGTATTAAAACAGTACACAGTCGGTGTCTTAGCTCTCCAGGGTGCTTTCAAAGAACATATCGAACTCTTACAAGCAGCTACACAGACTTATTCAGATCTTAATTTCAAATTCATCGAGGTTAGAACTCCAGAAGAATTGATAACATGTGATTCCTTAGTGATCCCAGGTGGTGAATCTACTGCAATGTCTTTGATTGCAGAACGTACTGGTATGTTTGAACCATTATTGAAATATATACAATCTGATAAACCTATATGGGGAACTTGTGCTGGGTTAATCTTTTTAGCAAAACAAATCATTAATGGAAGACCTGAACAGAAAATACTTGGTGCTTTAGATATCCAAGTTAAGAGAAATGCATTTGGTAGACAACAAGAATCATTTGAATCACCATTGGATTTTGGAAGTTTTATACCTGGTGTTGATAATTTCCCAACTGTATTCATTAGAGCTCCTGTTATTTCAAAAATTTTAGAAACTAGTTATAATAAAGAATTCATTCCTATAGAATCTATTATTGATAATCAAGATCAAAATATTATATATTCAAACAATAAAGATTTCCAAAATAATTCACCTGTTCAAGTTTTACATAAATTAGATTCAGGTTTAATTGTTGCTGTTAGACAGGGAAAGATATTAGGTACTTCATTCCATCCAGAACTTACAAATGATTTTAGATTTCATAAATGGTTTATTGATGAATTTGTATTGAAGAATTGAATGTGTTTATGGTTATGCTTTTTCTTGATTGCTAGATGTTTCCTCATCAGATTTCTTTTCTCCATCAATTGATTCTAATCCATGATCTCTAACAGTGGCATTAGTAAACAGGCAATAAATTATACACGCTATCCATAAATAAAAAACATTCTTTAATGATTCCATATAGATCCTTTTCAAAAATTCAATTTGTTTAGATGTATACAAATCTAATGAAAATTTTGTATAAATTTCACGTTCTAAATTTAAAATCTCACTTTTAGTAAACAATTTAAAACCTTCTGATGAATTTAATTTTTTAATATAAAAATTTGATAATATTGTAGAAGATACTGATAATCCAACACATCCACCTAATCCACGTAACATATTTCTTATTGTTATAACAACTGCTCTATCTTTCCTGAATGAATGGGCTTGTAATGCAATTAAAGTTGGTTGGAAAATACATCCAACTCCAAATCCTGATATGATTAACGATGCAATAATTGGTACAATACTTGAATGTTCATTCCATAAACTTAATAAACATATACCTATTGTCCATAAGATGTAACCAGTCCAAATAACATACCAATATCTCTTAGATCTCGAAACTTCATATCCACCAATAAATGAACTAATCATAGTTGGTATAGTTAAACATAATAAAAATTTTGATGAATCAATTGAACTATATCCACGAATTAATTGTAAATAATATGGTATATAATATAACATACCAAAATATGAAATACCAAAGAAAAAATTATGTGAAAATAAAAAAGTTAATGATGGTTTAGTATGGAAAAGATAAATTGGAATCATTGGTAATTTTGCAAAATTAAGCTCAATAATTATGAAAACAATTAGTGAAATGAAACTTATAATGAAAAAACTTATAACTAATGGACTTGACCAATTAAAAGTTGATCCACCACCACTTATAGGAATCAGAAAGAAAATAATTGACACAGAACTAGATAAAAACCCCCATGAATCAATTTGTTTCAATTGTTTAGTAAAATCTTGTTTATGATGAGTAAAAGGAACGAAAACCCATAATAAAACAGCATCAATAATTAATAAAGGAGCTATAAGATAATAAAAATATCTCCAACATTTTAAATTTTCTAAATTAATATTTATAAATCCACTTGATAAAAAAGGTCCTGCAATATTACCCAATCCAACAAAACTTCCCATTATCCCTTGGTATACACCTCTTTGTTCCAAACTGATAATATCGGATGTAATCATCATACTAAGACTCATAATACCACCATTCCCAATCCCAGCAAATGATCTGAAAATATAAAATTGATAAGATTTTGTAGCAAATCCACATGAAAGATCAGCCAAAGCCAAAATTAAAATTGACAAGATAATAACATATTTTCTTGAAAAAATATCACTAAATCTACCAAATAAGATCATAAATGTAGTTTGTCCAATAAGTGAACTTGTACCTGCCCATGATATGGTTTCTTGAGCATTCAATTCTTTTGCAATAAAGGGAAGTGAGATTGTTAATCCACTTTGATCAATGAATGAAAGGAATAATGATGAAGCTAGGGCAAGGAATACCACAATTACTTTATGAAATGGTAATATATTATCATGTGAATCAGCCAAGATTTGTGATATATCAGTTGGTTCAGTAGTTTTTGGTGATTCAATAGTTATTTCATTTATTTCATGTTCTGATGTCTTGATTGTATTTGGATCTTTTGACATCTTTTAACTGGTGTATTCATGATATCTATGATTCATAGATCAACATACTAAGCAACTTGACAATTCATCAATATCTACCCTTTATAGATCTTCCAATTAAATGTGGCATTTAATTTGTCTGCAATATTTGATATCTGAATTCGCTTTGTCGACGTTTATGGACTTTTATCCGAATTTTTGATCACGTCAAAACATTTCCCAAATTACTAAAAGTAGTAATTACGCAAAACACCTGTCAAATTGTGCAAAAAACGAAAATTTGATCAAATTAAGAAAGATTTACGAAAATTATTTTGTGTCACAAAATTCATTTTTTTATTGTTCTCAAATTTCAATGTCAACAATTGAATGGCAAATTTTATAAACAACAAAGGATTTACAATTGAGTTTAATTAAAGAGTGGTTTATTAGTTACTGGAAATTAGTTGGTGAAGTTCACTTAGCAGCTCTAAATTTGCTATACTAATTGCTGTTAGAATCATCTAGCTATTATAGCCTATAGCTTTAGAAGCTATACAAGTGTTACTCTCTTTTTGGTATGGATTATTCTGGTTTAATCATGAGTTTAGATAACCCAATATGAAGTGTTTTATACTAATTATATTCATAGGATCAACTCATTTGAGAAGTTTTAACCACTCTTGTATCCTGAGAGGATCTTGAGATTATATTACATCATAGTTTTACTGATCTTTCATCTTTCATACATTAAAGATCAGATATTTTAGAATCTTTTTGAGAAGAGTTTTATAACTTATATATGAGATATTTTTGAATCGATTTTCTGTTTCAAATTAACTTATAAATATTAGTTGAAATTTGGTTTAGTTGTCTTTATTCAATATTTTTTGTTCTCTTGGTATAACAGTTGTTCATATTATCTATCAATTTTAGAATTATTATACATCAATATATTACTGATTATATCACGAGTTTAAAGTCTTGAGAGTGCAACTACTTATTTACTAATTGTTATACAACTTTTCCAAACACATTAGAGCTGCTTATATTACATACACCAGTATATATATACAAATATCACAAACCAAAAGAGAAATAGATTATATCAAAATGAACAATCAAGGTTTTGTTTCCAATATTAATTCAAGAATTCGTCATGGAGTCAATTCAAATGGTTTAGAATCAAGTTCATCAACACAATTACCACCATTATCAAATATGAATGAAAGATTACCATCTATTGGTGAATTATTTAATAATAATGGAAACCATGGTATCATTGAACCATTTCAACCAATTAACAATTATACTTATAATCAACAACCAAGATCAACACCATTTGATCCACCACATTATTCAAATTATAATAATAATAGTTCATTACAAACACCATTATCAACTGATTCAATCTTGTCACAAAATTTAAATAATAGTAGACGTGAAAGTTATGAGTATACTTTGAATCAAATTCCATCAAATCAAAGAGCAGTCTCACCTGGATTTGAATCATCAGAAGATGAAGAAACACCTCAACTAGCAACAAGTACTACAGATCATGATGATAGATATGTTTCCAAAAATGATCATTCAAAATATTTATATCTTGATACAATGGCTCATTTAGCTGAATTGTGTAATTTGATTGAAAAAGGTGTTGAATCTTCAAAAGAAATTCATGATTTTTATCAAAATGAACAATATAAACTTTATTCAGGTTTAGTCAATTCTTTAGAAGATGGAACTTGTGATTTTAGTAAAGATTCAATTGAAAAGATTATGAATAATTTGAACATTACTAGAAATTTTTACCAAAAAATTTATGAACATCGTGGTGAATTGATAAAGGAAGACGCAACAAGAGAACGTTATGCCACATCAGATAATTCTTTATCAATCTCACCAGAAGGTGAAACCACATCAGGTGAAACCACAAGTGAAGCAGGAACTTCAAGTGAAAAGACCACACCATTAGAATATGGTAGAACTATTTCACCAGAACCAAGAACTTCATCTTCATCATCATCAACAATGACCATGACCACCAGATCAACAAAAGATCGTTCTTTATCAATTTCACCAAAGACTAATGGTTCAAAAATTGGTAAAAAATCATCCTCATCCACAAATGGTAAAATCAAGAAGGCTAAAGCAAAGAAGACTGCTTATATCCCAGGTAAATTGTGTAAACAATGTGATTCAGATGAAACACCAGAATGGAGAAGAGGACCATATGGATCAGCAACTTTATGTAATGCTTGTGGATTATTTTATACCAAATTGATGAATAAATATCATGATTTAGAATTGGCTAAATCTTTGATGGATAAAAGAAGAATTGAAGGTTTGAAAAATGATAGAAGAATTCCAAATATGGGGGCTAAAGATTTATATAAGACTCTGAAATGAACTCTTGAACTGTTTTGATTGTTGTTATTGTTTTGATTTATATCTTTTTTGAATATTTATATACTTTTTCGTGTGATTTGACTTTTGATAAATTTACTACTTTATATAATTTTTAATTCCGGTGGAATTTTGTAGAAATTTTTGGTTGTCTCTTTTTTTTCCGAAGAACGTTTTTTTGCTTGCGTACCTTTTTCAACTCCAAGATCTTAATTTTCTGTTTAAACGGTTTGATCTTTAATACTTCTCCATAAGTTGAGTTATTTATCTACTTATTTGAGCAGTTTCCCCCAGAATTCACTATCATAATCATTCAAAACCATTTCATTCCCCCAAAACCCGTTTTATTCATTTAACTGCACCAGTTCTTAATCATTGACACAATTTTATTGGGATCGTATAATGGCATCACCAATTTTTGTATCAAATCCAAGTCCAACTTTCTCCCTAACGGCAATAGTTAAAGGTTATCAATTTGCTATACTTGGTGGTTATAGACTTTTACAAAATCAGTTCTTTTTTGAAAATCCAAAGTATTTTAAATTTACATTGGTTGCATTACAATTATCTATATTTGTACAGATTTTACTTTCTATACCAAATTATGTTTTAAAAGTGGTTTATTATGGGTTTAAGTTTTTCCTGAGGAAGGAGATTGAAATAGATTGGTATCAAGGGGTTATTACTATATTGATTGAAGATGTTCTACAAGTTCAACCAATGGTATTATTAATTATTTATACTTTTTATTGTGATGTTTTTGAAGATATTTTTAATAGTGGATTACAATATATTGATCAAGTTACTATAGCAAGTCATAAAAAACCTAAGCTAATTTATTCAACTGGATTGATTAAATTGAAAAGAGTTGAATTAAGGAAAAGATCAACTTTTACAAATTTATTATCTAAATTGGAATGGTTATCAATATCACAAATTAATCACTTGAGTTATTTATTTAGATCTTATTTACAATTGATTAGTGGGAATTTATTTTTGGTTTCTGTTTCATTTTTACCATATATTGGATCACCTTTGGTTAGTTTTATTGTTTCAAGAAATTTTAATTCTAAATTAGGTTCAAGTTTAACCCTATTATTCTTTATTATTGGACTTATAATACCAACAGAAGCAGTTTGGAAATTATATGCATTTTATTATACAACACAATTCATTATCAAAGCAATTTTAAATATACCATATTTTCAAAAATTAAATTTTTCAATTCAACAATGTGAAGATTGGTTAGATTCAAGAGCTGGTCTTTCATTTGGATTTGGTTCCATTTTTTTCTTTTTGGAATATGAGTTTAATTACATTGCATTAGTTATCTTATTTTTACAACAATTAAGTATTGCATATTTCATTACACAAGTTACAGATCCTGTACCAGATACACTAAATGAACCATGGATCTTGACACAAATATATTGGACAAGGATTTATAATAAATTATTAGTTTCAAGTGATGGTTTCAAACCAATTCCTTTATCATATATAATTTTCAAACAAGGAGAAACTTCACCAGATACTAGTTCATTTGTTACACCAATTTCATCAAATACAAATCTAAGTGAATTGAATGAGCAATAGGAACATACAAGATGTATATAGAATATAGAAATACCAAATTATTTATAGATTAAATAGAATTTATGAGCTTTACTTATACTACTATGTAATCAATACTATAGATGGTTACTATAGATACACATATAAAAATCGTGCATATTCATACAGGGTAAAAGAGCAGTAAATAGAATTTTCATTTTCAAATTCTATTTACAGCTCGTCTTTTTGGCATCGATGACATAATGTTTGCTAGCGTGCTTAGTCATAATAACCACTTTAAATGAGAATAAACATATAATCGCCTCTGATTTACTGATAAAAATATAATATTAAGGTATTATAAAATATTTTGAATCATCTCATACATAGTATAATATCCCGTCGCTCAACTAAAATTTCATCAATTGATCATGTGGCCAAATGTTCACACATAAAAATGTAAACATTTACACTTTTCGCGACGGTACTAAATAATGAGTGAGCCATGCTGAAAGTGGTACAATATACAGCATAATTGAATGGGTTTATAATGTCGACTTTAGCTATATATTTTCTCCTTGAAGCACGATATTCCTTCAAAGAAACTTCAATAGACCAAGCACTAACGTTTATTTATGTTCAATAAAGTTCTCATAATTCTAGTGAAGTGATCTATAACATATATATCTCATGGATGTAATAACTAATTATTCTCTCAATATATTGGTTACCTTTAACTTCATTTTCTAATATTATATAAACTTCTCTATTTAATTGAGCTAGATTAATATATCACTTGCTAATGACGCATATAAATATAAGCGATGAATTGATCTTCATTCTAGTCAATAATATACATCATATGTTTGTTTAATCAAGACTCGTGATATATTTATATAACTTGCCACGTCGAATATGATTTCAACACTAAAATCATGGTTCACAGCTAATAAACCTGAGATGGCTAATGATCATTCCAATAGATTAGGATACTTTAAAATTTTAAGTCTAACAGATGAAGAATTAATTGAAACGTTATGCTTGGAACCAATATATAAAGAATTTGATCCAAATTGCAGTAACACATTCCTTGATTGCCAGTCTGATCGATTTCTTGCTGCTCTATTTGACCCAGGAACTTCTTTTGATTTCAAATCAAATGAAATTTTTCACATTGTTGAGCCTCAATACGTTGAATATAAACAATTTGCTGTTAAATTGAAATTGAGAGATCACCCTACAAATACATTAAATGAGAATGATATTAAGGATATTAGAGAATATCTTGATGCATATGGCTCAAAGCATGGTTTCATTGTATTGATGAGACCTGATTTGAACATTTTACAAGTTTTAAATTATTTAAATGAAACTAATACTTTAAAATCTGATAGAGAAATTGATGACTATACTTCTAGAATCAACAGTGAAAGATTACCAAAATTTCTTATAGCCATTCAAGCTACTCAATATTTAAGAATTTTTTGTAAATTAATGAATTTCTATTCAAATTCATTAGAAACTAGGACAAATTATACTTCACCACAGGAACTAGTTGCAAAAGTTATCCAAAGACAAAAATCAAATATTGAAGGAACAATCCCGCATCGTAACTGTGTCTATTTTTTCACAAGCAATATAGAATACAAGAGTTTTTTCTCAAGCACGAAAATTAGACATGTTATAAATGATGATTTCCTCAAGAGTTACTCAGATATCAAGATTGATTTTGATAATCCTCATTTTTATGACGATACGTATTTCACGATATATGATATGGAATGTGGAAATGAAGAGATAAATGTGAGAAACAATCAAAGGCTGGAATCAGCACCACCAGAATATTCAGAATATTGAAGACAAACACTTGTAATTAATTGAATTGTTGGTTTATTTAGTTGTTTTACCAAGTTTATAACTAATAAATAATAAACATTTACACTTTTCGCGACAGTACAACCCAAACACCACTTCGCGAATTTTCATAGTTTATTATTTCATTGGTATAATATTAAAGAAGATTTGATAGTAGATATATTTGATCAGAAATTGACATTGGAACCCTCAAGATTATTCATTATTTAAAGCTGAAATCATGTCTGTGAGTATACTAGAATGTATTCTACTGATCGGGGGAGAGACCAATAATACTAACTTACATATAGCTAAACGTTATAAATCCTAAACCATTCATTAAAGAATTAGTAGGAACAAGAGTTATTATAAAATTAAAATTTAATAATACAAGTTATAAAGGTATATTAAATTCAAGTGACAATTATTTCAATATAAGTCTTAGTGAACCTGAAGAGATTGTTGATGGTGTATCTACTTCATTAGGAAATGATTTGTTTATTAGATGTAATAATGTTTTATATATACAACAATTGAAAGAGTAAAGTGGTTGGCTTAAGTATAGTATATGATTAATATTTTAATAGATGTTTGGTTTTTTGGTGCTAGATAACAGCGTAGTCTTTTGTTTATTAAGTAAACTACACTTTCATTCACATTAGTGTATATATAAAATAAAATAAACAATTACAGAATATGATTAAATCATGGGATTATATAAATATGTTCTAAAAAAGGTTAATAATAAAAGATTTTGGTACCCATGATTCTTTATATGATTTTAAATTTTCTTTTTTGCTTTTTTTTTTTGAATTTTTATCTTCCCTTTTAAATTCTTTTAACTTCTTTTTTTGTTCTAAAATGCTAAAATATTGATTTCTTTTATGTTTATGGTTATGTATATAGATATATATATATGGTTTTTATGTTCATGACGTTCTTATCTCAAACTGATGAGGATTATATGTTATTATTTGGATTATAATTCATCAGCATATGGTAATTTATTAACATCACCAACGGCAACATAGTTGAATTTACCTAATTTGAAATCTTTAACTTTAGAAACATCAAAAGTTAATGGTTCTAAAGCAGTATCATTAGCTAAAGCTAATTCAGCAGTAGTTAATTTATTAGCAGTTGAAATATCTGTTGATTTTTTTAAAGTTTTAACAACAGTTTTAATTTTTTCTGAAATTGATGAAGCTTCACCATTAATAAATAAAGTGAATAAACCTGATTGATTATATTTATTAAATTTAACTTCTGAAATAATTGAAGAAAGTTCACTTAATGGAGAAGTTAAATAATTTGATAAAACTTCATAAGTTGCAAAATCAGCAGTTTTAACTGGAATAGCAATACCAACAGTTGATGAACCAACAGATCTTAATCTTGATTCAACACCTTCAAAAGTTTTTGGAGCTTTTGTTGATAATAATGATGAACCTTCTGGTAATTTTGATAAAGTTGAATCTCTAAAGAAACCTTCTAAATCTTTTTGATTAATACCTTTACCATGTAATTCAATATTATTTCTTGTATAAACTTTATTAGCATATTCTTTAACATCTTGTAAAGAAATTTTAGAAACACCATCATATAATAATGGATTACCTAAATCACCTCTATAAGTAATTGAATGTAATAATTCATTAGCTTTGAAAGTTGGATTAGCTAAAGCTAATGATAAATCATATTTAGCAGCTGGTAAAACAGTTTCTGGGAATTCATATTCTTTAAATGAAGATTTATACAAGACATCACCAATTGCATTAACAAAATATGGTAAACTTTCCTTCAAGAAATTAGCACTTAAATAAATACCATCTCTTGTAACTGTTGATTTAAATTCACCACCTAATAATTCAGATTCTCTAGTTAATCTCAAAGCTGATCTATTTCTTGTATTTTGGAAATTAAATCTTGATAATAAATGAGCTAAACCATCTTTATCTTGGTAACGAGAACCACCATTAACTTTAACAGTTAAAGATGAAATTTTACCAGATTCATGATCAGCAGCTTGGATTTTTGTGGCATAACCTCTGGTAGAGGTTGGAATTGATCTAGCCAATCTTCTTGAAAGCATTTTGGAATGATGAAGATAATGATATTTATGAATTTAATCAATGTCTAGTAATCAATTTTGTTTTAATGTATTTTGATTTGAATGCCTTTTTTTTTTCTTCAAAGATTTAAAATTGCAACGCCGTGATTGGGCGAGGTCGGAAGTTACCCAAAAGGGGAAGCTCATGGTCATGTGATAATAGTAGAGAGAACCGAGGGTAATTTTTAAATTTGTTTATTTACTTCTCAAAAAGTTTTAATGATTTCTAATTTATTTCATAGTTTTAGGTGATATTATTGGAGACAATTGAACTAAGATGTCTGGTGCTGATGATGGGACTAGCAATATTGCAAAAAAGGAATTGAGAAGAATACGCATCAAAAACCTAATTACTACAACAAAAGACCCTGTTAAAAACTTGTCATTTGATATGATTAAAAAAGCATATTATAAAGATGATCTTGATGATTTTAATAGAATTGATGATGTCAATAAACAATATGTTGTCGACGTTTTCCGTATATTCAATTTATTTCAACTTTCAGAAGATGAAAAAGATGCTGGATTTTCAGGAAATTTAAATTTACCATATAATAAAAGTATTTTCCATAATATACCATGGTTCACCATGACAATGACAAGACCTGAAATTATAATTAATCCAGTATTAGATCCACACAACAAATTCATTTGTCATGTAATTGATTCAATTTTCAAGGATGAAAATGATAGGAAATCAATGTATGATGAGAAAATTATTAAAGAGCTTATGAATCCTTCACAGAGATTGAATACAAGTAAATTGATGCAGGATAACAGAGATATCGTTATTACAAACTCCCAAGAGATCCCCATTGATGAAATCTCTATGATTTGTAATGGTGTTATACGAAAAATTGAGTTATTTGGAGAAAAGAATGTTTTTAAAACTGATTTCCTTATGACATGGCTTTGGGATTACAGGTATTATGGAAATGAAAATGATAAATTTAATGATATAAAAAACGAAATTATAGAAAAGACAATAAATAATGAAAAATTCAATAGTATGGATTTAGATTCGAAAATGGCAAGGTTTTATCAAATCATCATGGATTCAAGAGTAAACCCAATCAATGAGTATAAAGATATAACTTTAAAAATCATTCATTCTATTGAGAATATAAATAGAGCAATGTCAGTATTCTATCCCTCTCTTAGAATTCATGAGGATGAATTAATCAAAAGATACACGTCAAGCAGATCCAATAACAATGAATCCAATAAAATTGAACAAAATGAATCATTAATCACTAGTGATACAAATTCAAATTACAACAGGTCAATAATGCATATTCCAATACATATTAGTTCATTAAATAACGGTTCAAGGCATTCATTAGTGGTGTTTGAATCTAAGAGGTTTAAAAAATTAAAAGAAATTTTCAAAGAATTTATAGGAAATTCAGTAGAAAATCAAGTCAACTCTGATAACTATGAACATAAACTTATAAGAAATATGATAAAGGAACTAATTACATATATGAATGAAACTGGATGTAATATAGGAATTTTAACAAATTTATCAAGTATAATTATTTTAGAACTGAATGTGAAGAAATCTAAAGTTTTTGAGATTAATGAACAAAAAGTATTAGATTTGAATATAAGATATAAAATTATGGGTTATGAAGATCAATTACTTACTATAAATTGGGCAATTATCTATACAATTATAAGAGCTGGTAATATTTTGGAGGATGACTTGAATTATTTAAATGATAAAAATCAAAAGAAAAATAAGTTTGATCATTTATTTAAACGTACAATTACTGAAAAATTAGATAATGAAAGTGTTCATTACTTAGCAAATTGTTCAGAAAAATATGATTATGTTTCTGAATGTTTTAGCTTAAAGATCTCTGAAATTTTCCCTGACGGTATAAATAAAACAAATGCTTTACAAAGAGGAGATGAATTCCATAGTCAAGTATTTAAAATACCATATAAAAATGTTAAAGATGGGTTAGGTTATGAAATTGATGGGGTTTCATTAAATGATGAATTGATTTTAAAAATTTATCAAATAGATTTATTAGATTTTAATAAGTTTGAGGACAAACAAATATTTAAACATTTTCAAAGAGAAGTTGAAGGTTTGAAAATCATTGGGAATCATAATGAAAATTGTTCAGATGAGTCCAAAGTTATTAATTGTCCCAAAATTTACAAGAGTTTTATTATAAATCTAACAAATTCAAGAACCTGTTTATCAGAGATACATGGGTATGCTGTTTTAATGGAAAGAATCCAGGGAAGGAAAGTTTATTCAGATGAATTTAAATCAAATTCACGTATTGAGAGAGAATTAGATAGACAGCTTAAAATTCTAGACAGTTTAAAAATTTATCATAATGATATAGCAACAAGGAATTTGATATATAGAAAAGTTGATGAAAAACTCTTTATTATAGATTGGGGGTTATCTGAGATTGTATAAATGATATCTAATATTATATTATATATTTATAGCATGCAGTTGATCAATTATATAGTTTTCAAAGCTAACTAAAATCATAAGTAAATCCCCGATGAATTGCTCATATGATTAATTGATTGACTCTCAATTTCCTTCTCTTGAAAATTCTGGAGAGTCCATTCGCTATAAAGATATTCCAGTGATTTAGAAGATAAAAGTTCCCAATCCTATAAATTCGCCACTTATTTATGAATTCATCAATTCCAAAGAGAAACAATATACATTTTAAATTCCTTCACTATGTGGAGTCTGGAACACAATTCGCGGGTTATGTCAGCTTTTCTCATCGCGTTTTCCATCAAAATCATTTGACACGTAAACAATGAACATTCAAAGACATAAATAGTATAAGAGCAACAAGTAATCACACCAAAGCTTATATCTCACAATGGCTATTGAATCTACTGTTGTCGTCCCAGCATACCATGAAAAGTTAAACATCAAACCTTTAACTACAAGATTATTTGCAGCTTTAGGTCCAGCTGAATCTAAAAAAACTGAATTAATCTTCGTTGATGATAATTCAAATGATGGTTCTGTTGAAGAAGTTGAAGCTTTACAAAAACAAGGTTATAACGTTAGAATCATTGTTAGAACTACTGAAAGAGGTTTAAGTTCTGCTGTCTTGAGAGGGTTTGAAGAAGGTAAAGGTGAATATTTATTATGTATGGATGCTGATTTACAACATCCTCCAGAAACTGTTCCTGAATTCTTGGAAAATTTAAGAAAACATCCATTTTCAATTGGTACTAGATATGCTGCAGGTGTTGGTATTGATAAAGATTGGCCATTATATCGTCGTGTTATTTCTTCAGGTGCAAGAATTTTAGCAAGACCTTTAACAACAGCTTCAGATCCAATGTCTGGATTTTTTGGTGTTCAAAAAAAATATTTAAAACAAGGTGGTGAAAATATTAATACCCAGGGTTTTAAAATTGCTTTAGAATTATTAGCTAAATTACCATTACCAAAAAATGAACCAATTGGTGAAGTTCCTTATTCATTTGGTGTTAGAACTGAAGGTGAATCAAAATTATCAAGTAAAGTTATGATTCAATATCTAGATCAATTAAAAGAATTATATATTTATAACTTTGGGTTAGGTCCAATCTTATTATTCTTTTTGTTGATTGTTATTGTTGGTTTATATATTTTATCACAATTGTTTTAAATAATGTGTTTTAGTCACTAATTAATGAATAACCCATATTCTTTTAAGGAAAAAAAGAGATACGATATGTAATAAAAGGAGAAAACAACTAATCAGACTATGAACTAGTACCTACCTTGCTACGTTCTTATTGGCAGGTAAGCCCTATTCTTTCAGTTGATGATGTTTGATTGTTGGCTCGTATATTTTTTTTCCAATTCGCGCATTAAAAACTGTGGTGTAAATAACGCAATTTGAACGGCGAGATGTGTCAATAAATTATGACTATTAATGCAGCAGAAACTGTTGAAAAAAAAAATTATTCACGTATAAACTTTGAAGATCTTTTGATGAGTTGAAGATAACGTTAAGCCGTAAAAATGTTCCAAGATCTTTTGAGATATAAAAAGTGGGAAGGGTCCTGCTTTTTTTTTTATCAAACCCTGGTGTTCTATTGTTTTATACCCATTGATTAATATCACCAAAGGTTGAAAAATGAGTTTATTAACACCTTTTAAAAGACTTAAATGGGGGTTCATACCTGTTGAAAGACACGTTGAGGATGATCTCCATACTGAATTACAAGAAACAGATTCAGCTAAAGATTCCAAGATTTCAAAAGATCCAATTGATACTACAGAAGCTTTAATTCATAATGATGAAGAAGATGGTGAAACACAATTAGAATATAGAGATGAAGCAAATAGACCATGGTGGAAATTTTTTGATGAATATGAATATAGACAAAATAAAGCTAAAAGATCAAAACATAAATGGTATAAATGGTTTAATGAATCTGATACACCAGCTGAACGTAAATTAATTATAAAATTAGATATTACATTAACTTTTTATTTAATGATGCAATATTGGGTTAAATATTTGGATCAAACAAATTTAAATAATGCTTATGTTTCTGGTATGAAAGAAGACTTGGGGTTTAAGGGGAACGATTTAGTTAATACTCAGGCAATGTTTACCGTTGGATCTATAGTTTTCCAAATTCCATTCATGTATGCTCTTTATAAATTACCAATGAATTATATTTTACCAGCTTTAGATATTTTATGGTCAATTTTCACTTTGGCTTCATATAGAGTGGAAACAGTTGCTCAAATAAAAGTTATGAGATTTTTTGTTGGATTATTTGAATCAGGTGCTTATGTTAGTGGACAATTTTTATTTGCAAGTTTTTATACATCAGATGAAATTGTTCGTAGATCAACAATTTTTTATATTGGTCAATATTTAGGTGTTGCAACTAGTGGATTACTCCAGGGGAAATTATTTAGTTCATTCCATATGATTCATGGATTAGAAGGTTGGAGATGGATGTTTATTTTCGATGCTGTTATTAGTTTTGCTGTGGGGATTATTGGATTTTATTCATTACCTGGTACACCAGAACATTGTTATTCTATATGGTTAACAGATGATGAAGTTAAATTATCAAGATCAAGAATGAATAAAAATAATACATCAGGTACAATTGATTATTCCAAGAAATTTTTCGATAAATCAATTTGGAAACAAATTTTAACATCATGGCAAGTTTATGCATTAAGTTTATGGAATATTTTCTTATGGAATAATAATAATGGTACCTCGGGGGCTTATTTATTATGGTTAAAATCATTAGGTAGATTTTCTATTCCAAAAGTTAATCAATTATCAGCAGTATCACCTGCCGTGGGGATTATTTGGTTATTATTAACAGGATGTTATGCAGATTTATTTCATTCACGTTGGCAAGCTATTTTCATTTCACAAATTTTCAATTTTATAGGGAATGTTATATTAGCAAGTTGGAATGTACCAGAACCTGCTAAATGGTTTGCATGGATGTTACAATATACGGGTTGGGCAGCTGCACCAACTTGTTATTCATGGGCTGGTGATATTTTGAGAAGAGATTTACAAAAAAGATCAATTGTTATGGTTATTATTAATATCCTTGCACAAACATTTAGTGCCTGGATCTCAGTTATCGTGTGGGCTACAAGTGAACAACCAAGATTCCTCAAGGGTTATTCATGGACTGCAGCAGCTGCTTTTTCATTAGTTGTATGGACATTTGTTATATTATATTTTTATAAAAAAGATGAAAGAAAATTTGCTAAAGAGAATGGGATTATTTTGTATAATTCCAAGACTGGTGAGAATTATCCATTACCTGATAAACAGGCGTGAGGGAATAGAAAACAATATAGGTCTCAGTGTACTTGTTGTTGATTTGAAAATTAATAGACGGTTAATAAAAACAAATTATTATAATATACAGTAATATTCAATTTAGATCTCATCATAAATTAATAATGCCTATTAAATTTCCCGAGAATCATGTCAATATCATCATGAGTTTATATACCATTGAATATTCGCGACTGAAATGCGCTCCACAAATGTGCAAAATCGCGGGAAGCAGCAGCGCACAGCAATCTTTAAATAACAAACCAAATAAAACAAACGAAATATCCTCAACAAAAAGAAAAAACTTCAATTGGAATCTAAAATTTAGTGAAAGCATTGGAAAGGTATCTTTAGCACAGGGCGCTTGTTTTATTATTAGCTTTCACAATGACTTCTTTAATCCTTAAAGTTGACGAAGAAGGTCAAAACAAGGAGCAAGGTGTCGTGGTGTTTCCTGACTTGCCATTGCCTAAGGGATACAAAGATGGTGATGCTATATTCAATTTGAAACTAGTTATGCCAGCGGCTGCTCCAATTTCAAGAAATGGGATTGTATGGATCAATGTTCCTGAAGATGCTCAAACTACTTTTGATAGATCCAAGTATTATAAAAAGACTATTCCAAATACATTTACTAGGGATAATGAATTAGAATTCAAGATTTTCTATCCAGGTTCTTATAGTTATTATATTTCATATAGAGATGATTCAAATTTATTGAAAACTACAAGAAAGTTCTATTTCGTTGTTCCACCAAAACTTCAATTGAATGGTAAACATCTTCCTCTCAATTCATTAGCTTTAGAATCTATTGTTTCTAAATGGTTAGGTCCTCATTCAAATTGGGATAACATATTTGATGAAGTTTCTCAAAAGGGTTATAATCTGGTTCATTTCACTCCTTTACAACAACGTGGTGAATCTGATTCTCCATATTCAATCTATGATCAATTAACATTTGATCCTAAATTATTCCCAAATCAAAATGATGTTGAAGATTTAGTTGAGAAAATTCATAAGAAGAATAATTTATTATCAATTACTGATGTTGTCTTCAATCATACTGCTAATAATTCTGAATGGTTAAGAGATCATCCTGAAGCTGGTTATAACAAGGAAACTGCTCCACATTTAACTTCTGCTATTGAACTTGATGGGAAATTGATTGAATTTAGTGATAACTTAACCAAACTTGGTTATCCAACTGTTTTGAATTCAACTTCTGATTTATTGAAAATTATGGATGGTATTAAGACTCATGTTATTGGTGAATTGAAACTTTGGGAATTTTATGTAGTTGATGTTATTGAATCTTTAAAAGATTTACAAAAAACTTGGGAAACAAATCAAGGAAATTTAACTAAAATTGATATCCCTGAAGATGTTCGTAATAATATTGAAAAATTATCAAGTTTTGTTGCTGAGAATACAATCTCATTCAAATTAGGTTATCGTTATGATAATAAAGTTGATCCATTGAAATTTGCCAATATTTTATATTCACTCAATAGTTCAACATCTATAAACTTTAATGATGTTAAAGATCAAGCTCAAAAAATTCTTGATGGTATTAATTTACCAAGATATAAAGAATATGATAATGATGTTGGTGATATCTTGGAACAATTATTCAATAGAATTAAATATTTACGTATTGATGATCATGGACCAAAATTAGGTGAAATTACCAAAGAAAGTCCATTATCTGAACCTTATTTCACAAGATTTAAAGCTAAAGATGGTAAAGAATACCAATTGGCAAATAATGGTTGGATTTGGAATGGTAATCCATTAGTTGATTTTGCATCTGATAAATCTAAAAGTTATTTGGTTCGTGAAGTTATTATTTGGGGTGATTGTGTTAAATTACGTTATGGTTCAGGTCCAAAAGATTCACCATATTTATGGAAAAGAATTGAAGATTATGTTGAATTATCTGCTAAAATTTTCGATGGGTTTAGAATTGATAATTGTCATTCAACTCCATTACATGTTGGTGAACATTTCTTAGATTTTGCAAGACGTATTAATCCTCATTTATATGTTGTTGGTGAATTGTTTACAGGTTCTGAAGATATGGATAATTTATTTGTTGAAAGATTAGGTATTACTTCATTAATTCGTGAAGCTATGCAAGCGTGGTCTGTTGATGAATTATCAAGATTAGTTTATAGACATGCAGGTTTACCAATTGGTTCTTTCCAACCTTTACCTTTAGATGATTTTGCATATCCATCTTCAAATGATCCAGTTTCTAATAGTTTATCCGAGATTCAAATTCCAAAAATTTTAAGACCTTCAAGAACTCATGCACTTTTCATGGATTGTACACATGATAATGAAACTCCATTTGATAAAAGAACTGTGGAAGATACTTTACCAAATGCCGCTCTGGTTGCATTTTGTGCTACTGGTGTTGGTTCCGTTTTCGGTTATGATGAATGTTATCCACATTTATTAGATGTTGTTAATGAAACAAGAAATTATACTTTTGGTAAAGGTATTGGTGAAGTTAAATCAAAACTTTATAAAATTAGAAAAGAATTATCAGAATCTACTCAAATTGAAGAAGATCATGAAATGCATGTTCATCATGAAGGTCAATATATTACATTACAAAGAGTTAATGCTAAGACTGGTAAAGGTTGGTTTTTAATTGCTAGAACTAAATTTAATCAATCAGATGATCAATGGTTAGCACCAGTTGTTTTGAAAGGAACTAAAGCTTCACATGAATTTTCTTATGCATTAGAAAAAATTGGTGATCCAACTGAATCAAAAGAAGAAATCACATCAGTCCCAGTTCATATTAAAAAATTAGAATCTCCAAAAATTGAATATAAAAATGGTGATTCTGAAATTAGTTTACCAGATTATTTCCCTCAAGGTTCAATCATTGTCTTAAAAGCTGATATTGAAAGTGTTAGTGAAGAATTAGATCAATATGTTAGAAATGGTGCATTAGAAGCTTCATCAGATTTAGATCTTTATGATTTAAATGCATTATTATACAAATGTGATGCTGAAGAAAGAGATGCAAGTTCTGGTGCTGAAGGTGTTTATGATTTACCAAATCATGGTCCTTTAGTTTATGCTGGGTTACAAGGTTGGATTTCTGTTTTGAGAGATGTTATTCAAAATAATGATTTAGCACATCCAATTGCAGATCATTTAAGATCAGGTCTTTGGGCTTTAGATTATATTACTAATAGACTAGAAAAATTTAAACAAGATAGTAAAGGAATTGATAAATTTTCTGAATGGTTGAAAACAAGATTAGATAGTATTAAATCAGTTCCATTTTTCTTAGTTCCTCGTTATTTTGCCTTAGTTGTTGGTGTTGGTTATGAAGCTTTAAGATATAGAGCTTTACAACAATTTGTACCAGAAATTCAAAATGGTAATTTATTTTTACAAAGATTGGCATTAACTTCAATTCAAATGGTTGGTAAAAATAAATCAACATCATTAGCACCTTTTAAACAAGTTCCATCATTAGCTGCTGGTTTACCACATTTTAGTGTTGATTATATGAGATGTTGGGGTAGAGATGTTTTCATTTCTGTTCGTGGGTTATTATTAACTACAGGTAGATATGAAGATGCTAAGAATCATATTTTAAATTCAGCTGCAACTTTAAAACATGGATTAATTCCAAATTTAATTGATGCTGGTAGAAATCCTCGTTATAATGCTCGTGATGCTGCATGGTTTTTCTTACAAAATATTCAAGATTATGTTCATCTTGTACCAAATGGGTCCGAAATTTTAAAAGATAAAGTTAAAAGAAGATTCCCATTAGATGATCGTTATATTACATATGATGATCCAGAAGCTTTCAGTTATGAAACTTCAATTGAAGATGTAATTTATGAAATTTTATCACGTCATGCAAAAGGTATTGAATATCGTGAAGCTAATGCAGGTCCAAATTTAGATAGACAAATGACTGATGAAGGTTTTAATGTTAAAGTTTATGTTGATTGGGAAACTGGGTTAATTCATGGTGGTTCACAAAGTAATTGTGGTACATGGATGGACAAAATGGGTGAAAGTGAAAAAGCTCATAATAAAGGTGTTCCAGGTACACCAAGAGATGGTGCAGCTGTTGAGATTAATGGATTATTGAAAAGTACATTAAGATTTGTTCTTGAATTACAAGATAAAGGTTTATTCCAATATAAATCAACCAAAAGATCAATTGGTGATGAAATTACTTTTAAAGATTGGAATCAATTATTACAAGATAATTTTGAGAAAAAATTTTATGTTCCATTAGATCCAAAAGATGATGTTCATTTTGATATTGATGCTTCAATTGTTAATAGAAGAGGTATTTATAAAGATCTTTATAAGACTGGTAAACCTTATGAAGATTATCAATTAAGAGCAAATTTCCCAATTGCATTAACTGTTGCACCTGAATTATTTACATTGGAAAGAGCTATTGGTGCTTTAGATTTAGCGGATAAAGTTATTAGAGGACCTTTAGGTATTAGAACTTTAGATCCATCAGATTATAATTATAGACCAGATTATATTAATTCTGATGATTCAGAAGATTTTGCCACTTCAAAAGGTAGAAATTATCATCAAGGACCTGAATGGGTTTGGAATTATGGTTATTTCTTAAGGGCATTTCATTATTTCCATTATAAACAAGAATCTTTACAAAAGGGTAAAAATGAACCATCATCAAGATTAAATTATTTACTTTCTGAAAGACTTGTTGAACATAAGAAACATATTAGACAAACACCATGGGCTGGGTTACCTGAATTAACCAATAGAGATGGTTCTTATTGTCATGATTCTTCGCCAACTCAAGCTTGGAGTACATCTTGTTTATTGGATGTTTATCAAGATTTGTGGAGTCAAAATTTTACAGCATGATTGCTATACTTTTATTAATTCAATTCTTTTTTTAACTTTTATTTTACAACAAAATTGTCCTTCAGTTCTTGCTATTATATATACTAAAAATTACTATAGATTTTATATACAAATACATAATTTCTGTTTGCTGATGAATTTGATATAAGTGTACTTTATTCACTGGTGTCTGGATGTCTCATTTCTTATCAGTGTGCGCGACCATCGCGAATCACTTTACATATATAATAGCTTTGTTTGATCACCAATTCTTCCTACCAATTATCCCACACAAATTACAATCCACATTCTTAATTTAACTAAATTGGCCCCTAAAAATCAATCCCTTAATTAACAAATCACCAGTGTCTTCTAATTTGATTCAATAGCTGACAGATCACATAGATGGACTTTCCCGTGGCTGGTATATGTCGTCGAATAAGAGGGATAAGCTCAGCCAGGTGATTCAGAATTTCTTTCTGAAGGCGGCTAATGTCATCACCCAGGCTCGTTCACCCATGGAATTGGATAACATCAACACAGTGGGCTCTAGTAAACTGAACAAGTGGTTTAATTTGGACATCTATGATGGTTCCAGAGAGGAGATTAAACAATGGAAGGCGTTGAATGGGAAATCTACACCACCAATTGTTATTGAAACTTATTTGGATTTGAGAGACTTGAATTTAAATCAATCGTTGATATTAAAAGATGATGAAGATAATACATGGAATATCAATACTAAGAAAAATGAAATTGTATTGGAAAGATGGCTGATTGAAATGGATAGATCAGTTGCTGATGATGAAAATGTTGAATTACCATTGCTTTATAAGAAATTGATTGTTACATTTAGATATCTTTATACAATATCTAAATTATTACCAACTTATAAATTACTCAAAAGATTACTGAAGATAAAACTGACCAAAACACCATTGAAAGTATCAACTAGGATTCTGGATGGTAATAGACCTATAGTGTCAAAGGGAAGAGTTGGATTATCTAAACCAATAATAAATAATATAGAGGATCATTTAGTACAGAAAACTATAACACCAATATCAACAACTGTGGGAACTTTGAAAATATCAGTATCATATAGGAAACATACAGATTTCCAATTAATTGATAATGAAGAAACTTTATCAAATCATTTTTTAAACATTGATAAGACTACTAAATCAACTTCAGCACCTATTAAAAGAGCTTTCAAGACAGGCACAGTTTCACCACCAAGTACATCACCTTTAGGAAGAAACAATTCAAATGCCTCATTGGTTCAAGCTCTGAGAACTCAACGAACTGGTTCAAATGCATCACCTTCAGCTACAGGAACTTCATTTCCTAAATCTATAACATCATCGGTTGGTTCGGTTTATGGTATACCTGTTCCAAATTCAAATGATTTGAGTTCAAGTGCAAGCGGTAGTACACCAAAATATTCATCTTCATTTGGTAGAATAACGCGTCGTTCAAGTATAAGAAGGTCATCAAGTGTTGAAAGAGGTACACCATCAAGTATAGATCGAACACCATCAGTTTTAAGAAATCCGTCAACAAGTGGAGGTGTTACTGCTACTGGTACAGTACCAGATGATGATATAAATGATTTTGTTAAATTACTTGATAATAAACCAGACTTAAGATTAAAATATTCACCAAATATTTATGATTCATTAGGAAAATTTCAATCAATGAAGACTAAAAATGAAATTCTGAGTGATAGTATGACTGCTAGTGTTTTTTCAAAATCAACTTCACCTCCGCCATTACCACCAAATTCATATAATACAGGTAGAAATGTTTCAATATCACCAAAATCAACATCAAATTATTTACCTGCAATACCTTCAAGATTATTAGAAAATAATAGTAGTCAAGATTCATTAGGTTTAAGAGAAGTTAGAAGTAATTCAACAAATATTTCCAGAATTGGTTCAAGTTCACCTGGTTCAATATTACGTGGTAGATCAAATAAAAGTTTTAGTATTGGTCCATCAAATCCAACAATTGCTGCAACTGCTACTCATGCTAAAATGCATAAAATTTCAAGTAATTCAGTTGATTCTATAACTGGTGTTGTTAAAAAAGCTGCTTCTGGTGAAGGTACTACTACATCTAAAGATAATACTGAAAATAATGATGAAGATGATGATCTGTTATTTACAATGAGTGATATGAATTTACCGAAATGAAATATAACTCCATCTACTCATGTGCTATATCAAAAGAACGTTTTATATTTATTTTACATCTATAAACAATAAAAAAAACTTTTAAACCAAACAATTAACAAACAAAAAAATAATCAAATCAAAACTCCATATTTATACAACACAGTTTAATCTATAAAACATAAACATTTTTTACCAATCCTTTCAAAAAATTCATTATTCATATAATTTCCCAGATATTTATCATTATACATATATATTACAATCCATACAACAAGTTTCACCCCATGACTGATCAGTTATCCACCACTTGTTCTTGTTATTGTTATTGTTGTTCTTGTTCTTGTTCCTTGCCATCATTTATCGCATTCAAAACTTTAATATAACGTTCTTTTTGCTTTTCATGCCAAATTAAATGTCTTTGTAAATCATAATCTTTTTTAAACATCCTGGAACATGATTTAATTGTACAAGAAATTGTCTTTTCAGGTTTTGCCACAGTACCTAATAATAAATCTACTGATGAATTTTTACCTGAAATGAAATTTTGTATTTTAGCAGAACTTGCTAATGGGGATTGAACTCGCTCTGGAGGAGTTATTGGATCATTAATTTCATCTTTAAATAAATTTTTCAAACCTGCAGGTATGAATTGATGATCATTAATACAATGATTAAATAATTCATCTTTTTTCAAAAAATCCAAGGGACATTCTGTACATTTCCAACGTTTTATTGAAGTTTCAGAATCATGAATCATCATATGCATTCTTAAACCTTCTTCACCAACACAACCTTTCCCACAAATATTACATGATAATTTTGGATGATCAGTTTTAACATGAAGTTGTAAAGCAGACCAAGTTTTAAAATTGTTGAAACATCCAGGGAAAGTACATTGATAAGCTGGTGATGCACCATGATGTTTTTCCATATGATTTGCTAATCTATAAGGTCTAGGGAAAGTTTTATCACATTCTTTACATGTTAAAGTTTTCAAATGAATTGATTGAATATGATGTCTTAATTGTTGATGTTTATAAAAAGATTCTTCACAACCTTCATGATCACATTTAAAAGATTTTGTATGAGTAATTTCATGACGTTTTAAATGTTGTTGAGTATTAACACCTTTACCACAAGTTGAACATTTAAATGGTTTTTCTTGAGAATGTGATAATAAATGTGCTTTTAAATGAGAATCTCTAAAGAAAGCACGATCACATAATTCACATTGGAAAGGTCTTGCATCTGAATGAACTCTTTGATGTTGTGTTAATAGACTAGGTCTAGAATATACTTTTTCACATCCTTCATAATCACAATGATAAATTTTTGGTCTTGAACTTGAAGATGAAGATCTTGAAGAGAATACTGATGATATTGAAGTTGTAGAAGTTACCGAGTCGCTTCTTCCTCGCCTCACTGGTTCTGTATTTGAGCACATTTTAATAACCACTCTTTTCTCACCAAAACCAAACTAAAACCAAACTAGAAACCAAGTAAAACCAACCAAACAATAACGAAACAATAACAACTTTTTCAATACTTTTGTTTATTAAAATTCCAAAAGTTTATATGTCAAAACTTTTTTTTTTCCAGAATTCGCGAAGAAAGAAAAAAAAACTGATTACGTAACAAATTTTGAAAGTTTTCATCAAAAAAATTAAAGCGTATTAAATGAATTACAAAACAATTGAAAGTGAACATCAACGACTAAAAAGAATTTGAACAAGATGTCTGATTACGGTGAAGATGCGTATGTTTTGAAAAGATAGATTTTATGGACTTCAGGAACTAACATTTTATCATAGTTTCAACGATGGTGGTAACGAAAACTTTGAAGATTTCGAACAAGAATACAACTCTGATTATGAAGATATACAGCCACAACAAGAAGAAGTTGCTGAAGATGGAAGAACTATAGTTAACGGTGGTACTGGTGCTGATGATTTCCAACATGAACAAGCTAGAAGAAAAACCACTAGAGAATTAGCTATTAAAAAGGAAGATAGAACTACAACCCCATATATGACTAAATATGAAAGAGCAAGAATCTTAGGTACAAGAGCTTTACAAATATCTATGAATGCACCTGTATTAGTTGATTTGGAAGGTGAAACTGATCCTTTACAAATTGCTATTAAAGAATTATCTCAAAATAAAATCCCATTGGTGATTAGAAGATATCTACCTGATGGAAGTTATGAAGATTGGGGTTGTGATGAATTAATTGTTGATATTGATGTTTGATTGTAAAATAAAAAGTGATACTTCTGTAAAACTACATAAATAGATTAGAAGCAAAAAAAAATAAGTAATTTAATGTATATTTAGCTTGATACAAAATTTAAGAAATTTGTACCCATAAATATTGTTTCGCCATTCATAGTTTCAGATTTAAATTTATTTAAAATTGGTTCAAAATCTGTTTGTTTCATACCTATAGCGCTTAAATTATCTCCCAGCTCTTTAGAATTAATCTCTGAATCAGTGGAAAATACTTGTAAAGCTTTCAGTATTTCATTTTTATTTGGTACATCTTTTAAATCTTGTGATATTATTGATAAAAATTTTGAAAAATTCATTTCTTCATCTTTATTTCCCAGCAAATTATTTATTTCTTCATCTGATAGTTCTTTAGCTATTGTTTGTTTCAATTGTTTTAGATCGTCTTCCGTTATAATACCATCTGTATCATGATCTATTATATCAAAAGCATCTCTTAATTTCGTTATTTGTTCTGGAGGAATGCTAGATATATCAGTTTTCACTTCTGATTTTGGAATTGATTCGTTTGTAGTGGTATTTGATTTATTCTGCTTCTTTTTAGCACACATTATTAGTTGTTTTCAATGAGTTTTTAATTGTTTTGTTATCAAATAGTTGGTTAAAATGGGTTTGAAAGATATTTGATTTCTAAATTTTCTACTTATTCGTTTGTTTACCTTTTTACGGATTAGGTAATTCCGAGAAGTGTATAAGTAAAAAATCAATTATACCGGATTTAATTACAATTAAAAAGAGTATTAATAAGAAATATTTAAATAAATATACAAAACTTTTGTTAAATAGCTTGATGATTTTTTTATAAACGTTAATTATATCTTTCCCTCAAAAAAATTTGAAAACTTCCCAAATTGAAACGAGTCTATTAATCTTAACAACAGATTCTAATTCACGATCTTGAACTTGTTTCAATTGTGTCAATTCACTAGCTAATAATAACTCAGATTCTTTTCCCTTAACATCTTCTCTATTGGCCTTAGCTAATAATGAAGCATTTTCTTGTTTTAAAAAATCAATTTTTTCAAATAATTGACCAATATTCCAACAAATATTATTCTTTAAGAAATTAAAACTATGTTTTTCATTAAAACGAAACAAAAAAACAGATTTAGATGCTGCTCTATCTGCTGATTTCGGTATTTCTTGAATTTGTAAACTATTATATTTAACTAATAATGAAGTTAATGAACGTGCATCTTTTTCTTTTAATAATGCAACTGAATTAATTAATTTTTCAGAAACTAATCTATTATCACGAACACATCTTAAAATTCTTGAACATGGTGGTCCTAATGTTGATGATAATACTGCATCATAAACAGCCTTATGTAAAATTGATGATAATTCTGGGAATGGAACATAATATAATCCATTTGATGCTTTTTTCAAAAATGGAATAACTGATGTTGATAAGATTTTTAAATGTTGTTCCACAATTGTAATTGTCGAGGTACCAATATCAAATTCATCATCTTCATCATCGTTATTACCATTATTATGACTATCACCATTACCATTGGTAGCTGCGAATCCATCTTCTAATTTTATACGCTTACCACCACCTCTTGGTTCTGAATCTGAATTTTTTCTCTTTGGTGGTGGACCATTTAAAACTGTATTTTTCAAATCTAAATCTTTTGGTAAAAATTTTAATACATCTCTTGCATTAAATGTACAAGATGTTTTAGGTTCATAACTTTTAGGATCTTCAAATTCTTCATTTGATAATTCAATTTGATGTAATGGATTCTTAACTGATGGTGAATTTTTTTCAGTTGCAAGTAATGAACATTCATAAATTATTGAAGTAATATTACCAACTCTATGAGCACAAAATTTTGAAAGTTGTACACTTCTCTTATGTTTTAAAAATCTCTCTATATTGAAAGATAAACTAATTGTTGGATTAATCTTTGTTAAGGATGTAGTTTTATCTTTAATATGTAAATTTTCAGGTTCATGTTCTAATAATTTTAAAAATTCAAGTTTTGCCACAGCTTTTGCCTCAGATTTTCTTTTCAATTCTGATAATGTTGAAGTTTTGGGAATTTTTTGATATGCTTTTTTATAAGTTGTTAACCAAAGATCTAAAATGGGGCTAAAATTATATTTTGTTATTGGAATTAAAAATTTATCAGAAACTAATGTAGCAAAATTTTTTTCTAAATTATAGATAGCTTCTTTATCATTTGATCCAAATGATGATATATATTCACTAATTGTTAAATTTCCTAAACTTAAGAAATTTGTAATGATTTGTGTTAATGAATCATTATGATAAAGTTTATCAACATATGCAATGATTTCACCAGAATATAATAATTGTAAAGCACCACTTTCTTTAAAATAATAATGTGTTGTTGGTGTTCTACTTGAAACATCATTCCAAATAGAAACACAGTTCAATTGAATCAAACTAACCAATGTCTTCTTAACAACTGAAACTGGTAATTTAGCTTTTTTACTAATTTCTTTAGATGTTAATCTACCATAACTGATTAAAATTGATGAGATGAAAGCAGCTCTTTTCCCCAAATAAGACTCTATCAACTCCGTATAAAGATACGACTCGGAACTTTGAGTCTTTGATGGCTCTGTTATAGCCATTTTAATGTAATTATTGAATTAAATAGTTGATAAAATTATCGTTTTCAATATTTGTTTTGTATTTTAATATAAATTTTATTAAAAAATCGCATCAATATTTTCAAGGCCGCTCGCAAAAAAAAAAAAAAAATTTCAGCATAGTGTTTAATGAACCGGTTGTAAATGGCAGACATATACCGATTTTTGACACTTTTTGAGAATTTACTGAGGCAAAAAAGACAATTAATTATTTTCATGAATAAGAGGTTTCGTTGAGAGAGATATTATTAAGTTCTAAATATCAATTTTAGTAAAAATTACGATTCAAAAGGAGCCAATTTGAGCCAATTTGAACTGATTTAATAAGCATCATAGACATATATCCAGCTATATAATTAAAATAAACTCATTTCTTTTCCTCCCAAGAAGGCACTTTTTTCCAATGTTCAAAACCAATATCAGTTCCCCAATCTTCTTGGATAAATCTTTTAGGTTCATCAATACCAATTTGATCCAATGCTGCAATTTCTTCTTTAGTTAATTGAGCTAAATGTATTAATTGATTAACTCTTTCTGCAGTGGAAGTTCTTGGAACAACACTTCTACCACTCATAATATGATATGAAGTTAAGATCTCATTTGGTGAAACATCATATTTTTGAGCTAATTCTTCAACTTTTGGTTCTTTTAATAATGGTGCACCTTGAGCACCAAATGGTGAAAATGCTTCAATTTTAACACCTTTAGCTTCAAAATATTCAACTAATTTCTTTTGTGGGATTCTTGGATGTAATTCAATTTGATTTAAAACTGGTAAAACTCCAACTTCTTCAATTAAACGATCCAATTGTTTTTCAGTATAATTTGAAACACCAATACTTTTAACATGATTTGTAGTATCTCTTAATCTTAAAATTTGTTTATAAGTTTCTAAATAATCTCCCTTTTCATCAAATTTGATAGCTCCATTTTCATCAAATGGTTTCTTTGGTAATCCATCTTCATCAGTCTTGAAACAAACTGGCCAATGTTGATAAAGTAAATCAACATAATCAACACCTAAATCTTTTAAAGTTTGTTTCAAAGATTGTTCAGCTCTATCCCATAATGCAGGCCAAACTTTTGAAGTAATAAATAAATCTTTTCTTTGAACTTCTCCATTATCAAATAATTCTTTTAATGCTTGACCAATATATGGTTCACTTCCATAATACCAAGCAGTATCAATATGACGAATACCTGCACGAACAGCAGCTTTAACAGCATCAATTAAACGTTGATGATCTTCTGGTGGTGTAGCTGAGCCTAAACCAAGTGCTGGAATTTTATTTCCATCATTTAGTTCAATTGTACGATTTGTTGCTAATGCTTTGTTTGACATTGTTAATATTCGATATATGTTCAGTATGTTGAATATTCCTTAGATCAAATACTTCTTAATACTAGTAGCACTTCTTCTTTTATATGTATTCTTTATTCCAATTAAAGCAAACAATAATCATCTTATACTATGAAGCAATAGTATATTATGCGAAGCAACATATCTCAGAACCCTATATGTATCTCAACCATATATATACGTTAGCTCGGGTACTAAACACATTTGCTTTATTATAATCGTTTTGTGCAACTCTATTTATTAACATTAAGTTGCTCTTAGATCTCACTCGCGGTCTTGTTTGGTCGCGGGACAATCATATTATACTTCAATACAATTCAACAAAATAAACGATAAAATATTTTATTAATTCATTAGATAATTAAACACTAGAATATCATACTAGTTATACTATAGCTCCTACTTAGAATCTATCTCTTCAAATCAAACAAAAACTTTTGAAATCAATCACAAAATTTCAACTTCACCAGCTAATTCTAACCTTCTACTACTTGAACCAACGTACAATTTGTAAGTACCAGGTTGAATGATCCAACTTTGATCTTCTGTATCCCAGACACTGATATCTCTTCTAAGAATATCGAAATGAACTTTTTGAGTTTCACCTGGTTTGACGTAAACCTTATCAAAACCTCTCAATTGTCTAGGTGTTTTGTTACCATTCTTGTTTGGATAATCAATATAAAGCTGGGCAACATAAGCACCTTCTGTATCACCAATATTAGTTACAGAAACTTTAACAGAGTATAAAATATTCCATAATGCTTCATTGCCACCTAATGCACCTCCAGCTATTGGTTCTTCATAGTAATCTTCTTCGGTATAACCTTCAGGATATTCATATTCATCAACACTATAAATCTTTTCATTAAATAAGTAAGGATAAATGAAACCAGGAACTGGTGTGAAATCTTTGAATGGGAATAATGCATCATCAACATCTTTTAATTTTTCTTCTGCATAAACATATTCATCCAAGTATGGTGCAGGACATGGTAAATCGGTGGTTGGTGGTAAAATTTCTTTAATGGAAAGGTCTGATAATGAAAACTTGGTATAAGATAAACCATAACCAAATTCGTAACGAGGTCTTATTCCATTCTCATCAAAATATCTATAATCTAAAAGTCTGTTCAAATCATCTTCCGGTTTACCTTTCAATGGGATCTTGTCAATGATATCAACATATTGTTCTGGTTTTCTTGCAATGGTGAATGGTAATCTACCACTTGGATTTTCATCACCAAACAAAACATCAGCAATAGCAGCGCCAAAGAATTGACCTAATGGTGGACTATAAAGAACACCAACGACATTTTCATGATCCACAAAGCGCTCCAAATCAACAGGTCCAGTAGCGGTAATAACAACAACAGTCTTATGACATCTGTTGGCAACATGTAAAATCAACTCCTCTGTGTTTTGCCATAAAGTAACGTTTTTACGATCACCATAATTACCATCAACTTCAATATAACCCTCACCAGAATCAGCAAATCCAAATACAAGACAAATATCTGCATATTCAGCAATATCATCAACATGATCCAAGTCATATTCATCACTTGTATAATCAATCACCATATCACGTTCTCTGGCTTTTTTGGCTATAGCTTCATAAGGTGTAATTCCATAAGGTGCGTTGACACTTGCTGAACCCCAACCACTAAACAAAGCACCATCGGCGGATTGTTGGTCTTTTGAATTAAAGCCCTTAGGATCTGGACCTGCACCAACACCAGCAACTAATAATCTTCTAACACCATCATGAACGCAAATTGGAAGATGGTGGCCATCATTTTTCAAAAGAACAATACCTTCACGTGCAACTTGAAGTGCAGTTTTTTCTGTAAAGTCATCTCTAGCATCAATATGATAATTAGTTTGTTTAATTGGACCATAACTTTGGAATGGAAATTCTTGATCATAGGTATGGAAACTCCACGAGCTAAAGTTTGGTGAATCTTCTTCACGTTGTGCACTTGGTAATTTGACATCAATGGAGTAAAAAGCAGCTAACAATCTTGTAACCATATCATTCAATCTAGATTGTGGGATGGTATCATTATAAATTGATCTTGTTAACAATGGGCCCCAATATGATTTACCGCTACACCAATCTCCAAAAATTTCACCAGGCATAGTCATATCTAACCCTGCGAGTGCTGATTCAACACCTGAATGTTGAGCACCCCAGTCACTAACCACAAATCCTTGGAATCCCAATTCTTCCTTCAAAAGATAATTGATCAAATATGAGTTTTCACAAGCATAAGTACCATTAACTCTGTTATAAGAGCACATGATACCACCAACACCAGCATGCACAACATCAGCCCAAGGCCACATATAGGTTTCATGAAGAACACGATCTTTGATCTGTGAATCAATAGAATCTGTTAATCTATCCCAATCACCACCAGTCCATTCGTTTTCTTGACGGAAATGCTCTTGTTCGTAGCCAATGAAATGACGTGCAACCGCGACAACACCTTCTTCTTGAATACCTTGAACAGTCAAAGCACCTGCAACACCTTGAAGATAAGGATCAGAACCAAAACTTTCCCAGTTTCTACCACCTTGTGCTTTATATCCAATTGGACCAATAACTGGAGCTAATAAAATGTGGACACCTTTTGCCTTTGCTTCTCTACCAATAGCTTTAGCTCTACGGTACATCAAATCTCTGTTGAAAGTTGCACCTGTAGCTAATCCTGATGGGAAACTGGTAACAAAATCTGTGAATCTAACACCATTTGGACCATCTTGAAGACACAAGTTTGGTATATCTAATCTTGGAACGGAACCTGTGTTACCTATACAAGGACCTGAACCCCAACCAATACCTGTTGTTAAATTCACCTTTTCCAAAACAGTCATTTCACTAACAACATCACGAGCTTTAGCATAAGCAGCTTGCCAAACATGTTGCAATCTACCTCCAGCAGCTATGTTAAGTTAACAGTTAGTATAATTTGACCTTTTGAAATTAAGCGCTGTGTCATATAATATTAAAAATGAGTCAAAGGTATCTTAAAACTAACGTGAAGGATAATAACCAGGACTGAAGTAATTGATATCATCATCGTCATCACCATCTTCTTCATCTTCATTTGGATTCACATACATATGTTTATCATCACCAAACATACGCGGTTTCAACACCTGTTCTTGTTCAATAGGTTTAGCCGCTTTGACTAATAAGAGATTAAATAGCAAAGCAACCAATGCAATTGTACCAGCGTTAATTGCCCTCATCCTTTCTATATCTAAAACGACAAATATCAATGATGTTAGTCTATGTTCAAGCTGGTTAAGAGCTGATATGTCAAGAATTGAAAGATGGAAGTAAAAGAGTGGAAATGAAAACAATTTCAATATTTTGATTTTTATAAATTAATTTCTTAACCGCCATGAAAATAAAAAATGGGAATGCACAGCAAAAGTGAAACATAGCTTTAGAAAAATAATAGACGACGTATAGGATCTATTGAGAAGTAAGTATCAATTGGTGGCCAAATATGTGTGAAATTCTATGATCTTAATGATGAAATATCATTGTATTCATTGTGCAGTGCTGGTGATGGTGACATATTTGTATTAACGGTATGACTTGAATTATTAGCCCCTGTTAAATGGAAATTATTCAAACTTATTGGATGATGAGCTCTATCCCTTCTATCCAAGATACTAGCTGGTGGAATACCAATTGTACTTGAGTTTGTGTAAACAGTAGGATGCTCTGATAATATGGTTCCAGATGTTGATGTACGTGAATGTTCTGAAAATGTAGATGATCTAACTGATGCTGTTGACATTGAAATAACAGGCAGAGTACTAATGTTATCAGCTCTTGTATTGATACTTTCATGCGCTAATGATGGTGTTTTTGATGAAGCTTTTAATGAGTGATTGATAGATGGATCAAAACTATCATCAGCTTCTTGAGGTCCCAGATCAAACCTTGGAACTAATTGTTGAAATCTCTGTGGCGGCACGTTTTCCTCATGAAATTCCTCTTCGTGGTTTATTTCCTCTTGTTCAGGCTGTTGGTCAAGACCGTTTATGATAGCATCTTGTTGTAGTTGATTTGAGTTTGTACCATTACTTGGAATTTGTTGTGCTTCATTAGTTGTATTTTGAGCTTTGATATGTGAGTGATCTGTAGTTTTTGTAGAATGTTTCTCTGAGTTTGCACTATGCCTTTGATTTGAATTTGAAGTTGGATTTGTTCTTGACTGTATGAGTCTCTTAACCCAAAGAAACCTGCTTTTGAGACTCTTTGAAGAATCTAATTAGTGTTAGTTATATTGACTTTGTAATACACAAGAATTGTAAACGCACCGTATTGTGTAGTAGCCGCTTGATTTGACATTCCCAAAACTTTGTTTGATAATAAATGTAATTCAATAATAATGAGTTATTGTAACAAATAAGATAATACTAAGAACAGAAGTCAAGAAATTTGAATTCGAGGCACTTATTATGTAGATAGGCTGAGAACTTTACGTATAAAAACTTCTGCTCTGCATCACGTATTATAGTCGCGAATATTTTTAAAGTTCTCTAAAGATTACAAAACCATTCATTCAACTACAGTTCTTAATCTTTGAAGTCATAAAAGTATTTGTGTAGTATTAACTCGTGTATCTCATTATATTAAATCCTCAATCAGTAGTAGTATACGCCTTTGTTCCTAAATCCCTATTGTATTGGAGAAAAAAAATTCTCTAATTTGAATTAAACATTATTATGTCTTTTGAACCTTGTTATCAGTTGGGAAAGTACCACCTTGAGATGGTTCATATGGTGGAGGAGCAGCATCAAAGATGTGGTCTGAAGAGTTAGCAGCATTTGGTTCTGGTTCTTGTTCAGAGATTGGTTTTTGTGGTTGGAAGTTTTGAACAATTGGACTGGAATTACCATGTGAACTTTCAGATTCAATAATTCTTTCATAATCACCGTTAGCAACTCTTCTATCTTGAGATCCAGTGATTGGACTTGTAATATAGATGATATATAGAGCATGTAATGTACCAGGTAAACCAAATAAGATTGTTAACAAAATGTTTAACAACAGTTGATTTGTCCAAAACCCAACTCTGATAATGACTGGGAATGGCGGAAAGAAAAAAGCTGTGATATAAAGAAGAACATCACCTGTATCAAGTGGGATATTGTGTTGGGCCATTATGAATCTTTGTATATAATGGAGTAGTGATAGTTCGATGAATTTGTTCACGTTACAGATAAAAGGTGTTTGGTATTACTATATCGAAATATCTGAGATTAGTAGATTTTAAATAAAACCAAAAATTTCGCGACCAAAATTAGCCCTGTATTGGTCATTTTGAGGCTGAGAAAAGCACGATATTATTTAACTTTCAACTATCTAATATAATACGCCTGGTTGTAATGAATGTGATCATATGAATCACACCAATGTAGGCTATCATATAAGTCCTTTGAAAAATATAAGGATTCAGGAATCAGTACGTTGGTATTGTTTGCTGTTGCAATTATGGCACCTTTGCGATTTTTGATTTTCCGTTATGTAATCAATATTCTAGAATGGATTCTGATTTTCCTCTATTTGAATTTTGGGTCACTTAATCATATAGTAAAAGTTTTTTGAAGAGATGGCATATTCAACTTTCGACTATCAAATGTAGAATATTTTATTTTACATCATTACAATAGTTTTAATCTTAAAATTTGAGGTTAAGTGACTTTTATTTGCATTTAAAGTAGCTGTTATTACTAAGCACGCTAACAAATATTATGTAACGAGTGCCAAAAATTCAAGTGTAAACATTTACATTTTTGCTTCTTTGAATTCGCGCAACATGACGTTGCAACTTTCAGGTACTCATTCATTTGAGAATTATAATAAAGCAAGTACGTGCCCACTTGAATTTATATAAAAGGTAAAAAGATCTTATTGTTCAAGATCTCATTCATCTTTAGGTCAATATTTCAACACAATACTCAATTGACTTAGAGATTCCTTAAAATGTCTCATGAACACAACTCTGGCGGTGAAACTGAAGATGTACTTTTATATATTTTATCATTCTTCATTCCACCAATTCCTGTTTTAATGAGAGAAGGATGTGGTTTCCATTTATTATTGAATATAATTTTAACATTATTAGCTGGGTTTCCTGGTATCATTCATGCTGTTTATATCGTTTACAAAACAAGTTACAGAAAGCGCTCTAAAAGAAATGCTGAGTATAAACATGGTGGTGATTATGAAGCTCAACATCATCAACCTCAACAACAATATCATAGTCAACCTCAACAACAATTCAATCAAGCACCAGCATCACAAAGTCAAGGAAAATACCAACAACAACAGCAACATCAACAACAGCAACATCATCATTATCAAGCTCCAAGTTCCCAACCACAACAGCAACAGCAACAACATATAACACCACAACAAGGTCAAAGTTCTAACATCCCAGTTAGTAATAACGCCCAACAAGCTCCTCCAAATTATAATGCTGCTGTTCAAGATTCATATCCAAGTGATAATAAAGCTCAATACAAACCATAATGATATCAACAAAATTGAACTAAACTTGACACATCTGATGCTTATTTTAATAGATCTTTAACTTTTGATGCTAACTCATATTAGCTTGTTTAAATTTCGCCTAATTCATTTGCTTCTTTTTAGAGTTATCAATAATTCATGTACTCATAATATGAGTTTGTAGTATATACATATGATAATTTATTCAAGTGTATACATACTGTTATTAGTTATAGAGTAGTTTTGAATTAAATATAAGAATGTAATTACCTAATTAGGAAATATACCTAACTTGGAATATGCTTCCATTTCTGGCCTTTCCGATTCCTGTTTTTGGATTTTCGATTTTCAGTTATTTCTGCAAATGTGCGTGATAAGTTCTAGCTTTTGCATAATGTATGCATCTATTCTTAATGAGCATTCGATGACAACTTGACAAGTGTTTACTATTTACTCTATTTACTCTAAGTTTGACTCTTGAGTCTTTACCCTTGGGCCTTGACTCTACTACGTGAACATGTTGAGATCATTCGAATACTGCAAAGCAGCTTTTTGAAGTTGTACTTTTAAGCTA